ATATATTTTGAATCCGAGATATTGATATCAACTATGTTTTAGATCAACGAAGCGACGTGTTATTAATCGACGGAAAAATTGCACAAAAGAGGAAACCAGACCAGAAACCAACGACCAGTGAAAGTTTTTCATTACTTTTTAGAAATTTTATTCAATTTATTTCGAATATTTCTTCAAAATTTAATATTTAGCGGTAGCTTCCTGATGGGTTAGGTATAAACAGTGTTTCTCATGAGAAAATTATTGGCTATCTGTTCCGTTCAATTTTTGAGCAAAAGGAGAATATGTCGCGTTTCAGCTACGGAATTTGAAAGAGTTCTCATAAATATTTTAGTTTCTAATTCCATGTAACTTTCATGATTTCGAATCTTGATATATTTTGAATTCGAGATATTAATAACAACTATGTTTTAGATCAACGAAGCGAAGTGTTATTAATCGACGGAAAAATTGCACAAAAGAGGAAAGTTCAAATCTCGATATATTTTGAATTCGAGATATTGATACCAACTATGTTTTAGATCAACGAAGCGACGTGTTATTAATCGACGGAGAAATTGCACAAAAGAGAAAACCAGGCCAGAAAACAACGACCGGTGAAGTTTTTCATTACTTTTTAAAAATTTAATTCAATTCATTTCGAATATTTCATCGAAATTTAATATTTAGGGATAGGTTCCTGATGGGTTAGGTATAAACAATGTTTCTCATTTAGGAGAAAATTGTTGGCTATCTGTTCCGTTCATTTTTCGAGCAATAGAAGAATATGTCGCGTTTCAGCTACGGAATTTGAAGAAGTTCTCACAAATATTTTAGTTTCTCGAATCTTGATATATTTTGAATTCGAGATATTAATAACAACTATGTCTTAGATCAACGAAGCGAAGTGTTATTAATCGACGGAAAAATTGCACAGAAGAGGAAAGTTCAAATCTCGTTATATTCTGAATTCGAGATATTGATACCAACTATGTTTTAGATCAACGAAGCGACGTGTTATCAATCGACGGAAAAATTGCACAAAAGAGGAAACCAGACCAGAAACCAACAACCGGTGATAAGTTTTTCATTACTATTTACGAATTTAATTCAATTCATTTTGAATATTTCTTCCAAATTTAATCTTTGTTATGGAAGGCGAAAGATTATAAAACATTTTTTGATAGTCACCTTCAAGTCTCAATGGTGACACGACAGGTACCCTTACGAGGGGAGAGTATCAACCCTTGGCATCGGTAAACCCTCGTTGCAACCGGGGTAGGCGCCTGATGGGTTAGGTATATACAGTGTTTCTCATTTAGGAGAAAATTGTTGGCTATCTGTTCCGCTCATTTTTTGAGCAAAAGAAAAATATGTCGCGTTTCAGCAACGGAATTTGAAAAAGTTTTCATCAATACTTCAGTTTCTTATTCCATGTAATTTTCATGATTTCAAATCTTAATATATTTTGAATTCGAGATATTTATACCAACTATGTTTTAGATCAACGAAGCGAAGTGTTATTATTAGACGGAAAAATTGCACAAAAGAGGAAAGTTCGAGTCTCAATATATTTAGAATTCGAGATATTGATACCAACTATGTTTTAGATCAACGAAGCGACGTGTTATTAATCGACGGAAAAATTGCACAAAAGAGGAAACCAGACCAGAAACCAACAACCGGTGATAAGTTTTTCATTGTTATTTACGAATTTTATTCAATTCATTTCGAATATTTCTTCCAAATTTATTATTTGTTATGGAAGGCGATATATTATAGAACATTTTTGTTAGCACTTATGTTGATATTTCTGATAGTTTTTGTTAATACCAATTTAGTGCTCGATTCCATTGTTCTTCTACCGACTTACTGAAACAAAAATGGATGAAGGTGAAGTATCTATTCTATCCTGTAACTCATGATTTCAATTTTTCAATATTTTAAATTCGAGATATAATATCAACTTAGAAGCGACGTGTTATTGATTGACCAAAAAATTGTACAGGAGAGAAACCAGACCAGAAACCAGCGACCAGTGATAAGTTTTTCATTTCTACTCATGAATTACATTCATTTCGAATATTTCTTCCAAATTTTATATTTGTAATGGAAGGCGATATATCATAGAACATTTTTTGATAGTCACCTTTATGTCTCAATGGAGACACGACAGGTACCCTTACGAGGGGAGAGTATCAACCCTTAACGTCGGTTGAGGACGAAGGAAAAAGTTCCATGAGTACCGAGATAAGTACTGACGTATCTAAATACTTCTGATGCCTATCTGTACCTCACACATAGATTTACTCGAGGTTTATTTAATCCCATCACGAAGAATATGTTCTTGGGATACAGTCAAACTTGGAATGGTCATCATCTGAACATTTGTTCAATTCATTTCACGAAGGATGGTTTTGTTCGGACCAAATTCAGGGTGAGATTAATTTGATGCCTCTCAAAACCGACATTATATAATGATTCCCGCATTGTCTCCACATGATGAATTGTTCGTTCTAAAAGCTCTTCAAGAAGTTTAAATGATAGCAGTCTTAGGGAAGGGCCATTCGATTTGGGGTATAATATGTATGTTCTCTTCTAGTGATTTTTTATATCTACCTTCCATTGAGATACCTCATATTTTTCAGCCCAATGAGATCATCCTTTTCAGGTTCTAGTACAATGAAAAATTAAGTGAAACAAGGTTATTGAAATGATGTTGATATTGGCATAGCCTTATTTCAGTCTATTTGAACTGGGAAATTATTTTGAAATGAAGTCAGTGAGTTGTTACAGTGGAATGAGATACTTGTTTGAACCATGAACTATATGACAATTTAATATCTCATGAAATGTGCAAAAATAATACTATGAGAAATTTCCCTATTTTGAATATATTGTATATTTGAGCATGAAATTTCTTAATCAAAAACTGAGATCAGATATGTAGAATGCAAAGAAATGAGCTGCATATTTATTTACATATATCATCCAAAATTTGGAATAAATGATGTAGTCATCTTCTGATTTTTCGAAAATTCGTATTTACACGCCACTGTTTAACTTACAGTGTTGCAACTGATGAATGATTTGTTCGTCCGCCATATTGGATACGCATTCTAGTCGTGAGATTATAAAGATATAGGGCCGGTTGCATAAAGAGAAATTATTCATACAATCAACTGATGCCACAATAACTTTGATGTTATGTTAAATGTCATTTGCGTTGCATAAACAATCTGATGTTATGATCATCATTCCATTTACTGACGAGAAGGGCGTGGCAACAGCGCTAATCTGTCTGCTCCTCGCGTTCCGCGCATTGTTGATAAGCATTTTAGGTTAGGTTTATTTATTATATTTTCATCCAGATTGACAGAAGTTACAGAAGAAAATAATGGATAATTCGAAGAAAAAATGAGGGGCAAATTATACTGAATCAGGAAAAACGATGTTAATGGAGATTGTTAAAAAGTAAGTGAAGTTTTCCATGATACCTAGATAAGCTATTTTATTAATCTTGTCTACAGGTATGAAAATACTATTGGATACAAACAAACGAATGTGTCTAAAAAGAAAACGGGATACATGGATAAAAATCCAGAATTAGTTCATTACAACTGGTTTAGAAAACCTGAGTTGGCTATTGAAATTATTGTCATCATACATTTCGAATGGATTGTTACTCTTTCGAAAGGGTTCTTGGCCTGGGAATCAGTAGTTCTTCTTCAGATAGTGAAGACAATGATGAGATAGACATTTTCTGTAATATAATAGTCATTTACTTACATTATTGTGTTCATTTACCTCCCCTACCTTTTTGAAATAAAACAAGAACTGATAGCTCCAACCTTTTTTTTCAGATTCTGCAAAAATTCTGCGAAATATTCAAAATAATTTGGCGGAACTTTCACAAGTCATTTGCTGGTTGTCACTTTAATCAGTGGTCGAGCACTGATTAAGTTGATGCCATGAATAAGTCGATTTGATGTGACATCTTAAGTTGATTGGCCTTTGTGCAACCGTTTTTTTTTTAGTTGAATAGTCATTATCATAAGTTGATTAGATGATAAAGTCACCATGCCATTAAGTATATGATGGGCCTTTTATGCAACCGAATTCCATTTATTCGCGAGATTCACGAAGTGGGCGACATCTAGGTTACATACTACAAACTTCAAACTGGGGGAAAACAAACTGTTGTCTATGGATGAAGTGCATAGACTACAATGCATTCAGCTTGCTGTAGCTGTAGTCAAACTTGTCAATGACTTAAAGTGTTGGCACTGTTGGTAGTGATGATGGTTGAGTTGGTTAATTATTTTATATTATTATTTTTATTAGTTTAGTGAACAGTGAACGGGTGAAGAATTGGAGATAGTTCAAACAATTCAATCTAATTATGACGAGCAAATCAATTGACATATAATAGAACAGCTACAACATGTTTACAATACCCATATTGTCTTGCTTTGCAGGAACAAATACAAATCCATTGTTCTACAGGAGTTCCTCTGGACCCCAACTTCAATTTTACTTCATGTGGGGAAGATTTCATCACCGAAGTTTGTAGACAAAGTGCAAAAATGTGCATTTTGTTGAAGTCTTCTGCCTCACACAAAATCACATGATTAGCACAGAGAACTGCTTCTCCTTTCACTACTGGTCGGCTTTTTCCATCTAAATAGAGCAAAATATCTGCCAAAAGAACATCTACAACAGGCATTATTAGCGTTTTCGATCGAATATTGACAATTAATGTCACGAAATTTGAAAACTTATCACTCTTATCAGTACACAGTACACAAGCTAATGGCACTAATGGGATTGAGTGAGAATTGAGTTTGTTTTCCCCCAGTTTTGACGTGGCTTAGACATGGAACGATGAAAACCGAGCGCCACCTGGTAACATTGATTCCCGCGAATAACGTCGCATCAAATATTTGAAGTGACATCAAATAATTGGTGAGGTTTTATGCAACCGTCCCTATGAGTTCTGTGATTCCACCGGATTCTCTCACCTTTTCTGTCGGCCATCGAATCGAAGAAGCACCAAGGCGCCTCGTGCCCCACGCCGCACTTCACGAACGCCACGTAGTGCGACGTCTCGATGCAGATGACGGCGAATAGTTCCATGAACAGCCGCGGCGGCCGGTACGCGTCCTGCATCTAATGAAATATAACTTTAAACTCAAGAAACAATATTAATTGGAATTCATTGGTTAACCCTTCATTTTTTTTATACGTTTTCATGTATCCCTATCATAAACAGAAATATTTCTTGGGAAAATAAAGACAATCGATCAATCAAAGTATAACCATCAGGATCATTCGCATTTTCACAGAGTTCAATAAATACGTCAGTTCTGTGAGACTGCGCATGCTCCTGAAGGTTATTGATAGCAATTTCCGGCATAAATTACTAACTAGACTGCTAATTCCATAAGATCAAGGCTCATTCATTTACGAGATCCAATAATTTCACAAACGATAAGATTTACTGGTACGATGAACTAACCTTGGCTTGCTTATATATCCTACTTTCCCAACCAGAAGGGTTAGTTACCCGTGGACAGGTTCGATAATATTATTTACCTACTAAGAAAACTAATTCAACAGTAGTGAACTATTGAGGTCTAATTGGTCGTTAAGTGAAATGTCAGAATTTTTGAGTTTGTTGATTTCTAATGATTCAAAATGATTGAGTTTCATTCCTTCATTTTCTACGTGTAGAATTTCGAAATTGTCATCAAAACTATGGTTTTCTTCTGATATATGGTTGGCGTATGTTGAATTTGTTTTCTTTTTCAAAAAATTCATCTTATGTTCATGAAAACCAGATGAACCAACCACACGTGAATTTGATCACCAACGCTTTTTCCAAACTTTTTGCATTCCATCTGTTACCATTGAATTTTGAATTTTGAGATGAATCATGCTTATATAAAGCAACATTTTTACTAATATTATGCAATTTGTTATTCAAATCTTCCATTCGGTTTTTCAAATGCAAAAGTTTTTCATAGTATTGTTCATCAAAACTATGAATTTGCTCAAAATTGCCTGGATATTTGCACGTTCAATTGTCTTGTATTTCTATGAAGATATTTGCTGAATTTGTTTCAAATCTGAAATAATTTTTAGATAATAGATCTGAATTTTGCTAACTCTGACTTTTGTATCTAAATCTTTTGGCTTCAACTTATTTTCCAACTCTCTATTTTTTTCTTCTATTTGTTTCCTGAATTCCTTACTCTCTTCCACTCGTAAACCTTGGATTTTTTAATATTCCTGCTCTAAAAATTCGATTCTCAAGTCATTTTCTTTCAAAATATGTTCGAAATGAATTTCATTATCTGCAAGTTTTTCGTTTCTTGTTTGTTCTAAATTGGAATAAGGTTCTTTTTGATACTCGCTCAGTTTATAAATTGTGGGTTCGGCTCTCTCACTCTCAATACGATCCTATTCTTCAACATCAAATATTCGAATAGAGTAAATTGATGTACGTCCGTGTACTGTCAGTTCCAGCTTTTTCCATCAATTTATTTGTGGTTATGTCTGATTGTCAGTGCTCTTCATAGTGTCCGTACTCTGATGGGTTGCGTGCAAGAACTGTCAGATGGCCGACCCTGGAGGCACAACATTGAAACACAACCTCACTTTTCTTATTCGTTTACAAGTGATTGAAATAGTCTTTCACCATCATATTGGCATAGGAATGGCATTCTTTTGGCTATTCATTAATTCGCTCATGCCCTCACATTGTACTGTTGTACAATGCACAAAAACTGCAGCGGAAGACGAAGGAATCCGGTTGGTACATTATGATTTATAAGTATGTACCTACTATAGTCACTCACATATAGTTTTCATTTTTGAAATTTGGCAATATCTCTGATTTCTCATCGGAATTCCTTCTGCAATAGGAGCTAATAGAAATACTCGTGAAGTTTCTAAAATAATGCAGGAAGATTAGATTCATGACATGCTGACGAAATATGATCGTGTGTGTTGAAAACATGTTCAATCTATTAGCATTATTACCTTGTATTACAGAAGTGGCAGGAGGAATTTCAATAAGGAATGACAAAATTTTATAATGAAAACTATGTGAGATTACTATTTACCAAAAAAAACATATTCCTTCGTCTCTCGCTGCATGTTTTGTGCATTGTACAACAGCACAATACGAAGGCATGCTTGAATTAATGAATAACGCAAAAAACTCGATTCGTATGCCAAAATTTTGTGAAAAACTATTTCATTTCAATCCTTCGATTCCTCTGTGAAGAATTAGAGAGAGTGAGGTTGTGTTCCACCAATTCACAGAAGAGTGAGGTTGTGTTTCAATATTTTACCTCCAGGGTCGGTCATCGTGCACGCGACCTATATACAAAGAACGTCAAAACAGCAGTGTCAAGTACATTTAGGAACTCTAGATGCAATAAGGTCGTCATACCTCTGGGGAAAAGTCGGCGGCGATTTGCAGTTTCCTAGGCCGGTGGTCAGCGCGCCGCTCGAGTCGGTGCGCCGTCTTCAGGCACTCAAAGCAGAAGGCGGTGCTCTCGAGGCCGGCGTTGCTGCAGTCATCGAAGCACTCTTTGCACTCGAAGCGGGCCAGCTTGCCGCACACTATGCACTGTCGGGGAGCTGGAAGAAACAACGGACGAGCTAGAGCTAGAGGAATCCGAAAGAACATCACACATTTCAATTTTTGGGTTTAAAGAGGGATATCGGCCAGCTTCCACACATTATGCACTGTCGGGGAGCTGGAAGAAACAACGAACGAGCTATAACCAGAGGAATCCGCAAGAACATCACAAATTTCAAATTGGTCATTAGAGGGATATTGGCCAGTTTGCCACATACTATGCACTGTCGTGGAGCTGGAAGAACGGACGAGCTAGAGCTAGAGGAATCCGAAAGAACATCACAAATTTCAAATTTTTGGAACACACAATTGGTCGTTAGAGGGATATTGGCCAGCTTGCCACATACTATGCACTGTCGGGGAGCTGGAAGGAAGAACGGACGAGCTAGAGCTAGAGGAATCCGAAAGAACATCACAAATGTCAACTTTTTGGAACACACAATTGGTCATTAGAGGGATATTGGCCAGTTTGCCACATACTATGCACAGTCGGAGCTGGAAGGAACAAAGGAGGAGGTAGAGCTAGAGAAATCCGAAAGAACATCACAATTTGAACACACAATTGGTCATTAGAGGGATATTCGCATCAGTGATATTGGGGACACATGGAAATTCGCCTTTACAGACCTCCAATCACAGAATCGTGATCGGGTTTTCTCAATTCAGAATGTCTTCCCACGGCCTGCATGATGACCATCAAGTCATCGTACACAATAAACATTTAAATGATTTATGTACTTAAAACCTTTGGTGCCAAAATTCACAAAGATATGAGTGTGTTAGAACAAAAAATTTTTTTTTTTTGTGACGAGAAAAAAGTTTGACATCTCATCTTTGTTGACAGGTTACAAAATGTCACATTCCATAAATTACGTTTTTCCCAAGGTGCACTGTTGATGGCTTTTGTTGTGCCAGTTGCGAAAAATTATAACACCGTCTCCAAGAAATAACTGAAAGTTTTCAAAATCAAAACACATAATTAAATTGACAGATACTTGATTACTTCGAAAGGTTTCCATAGTAATAAAGATGCCTACAAAAAGAATACTGCAATACAGGTAGTACACCTGTTAAAAACTTCAAATTTCACATCGATAATTTTCTGATTTTATTATAATGTAATATCTTCTCAATATTGAATCGTCGTTTTTTCTGTCACAGAAAAAAAAGTGTATTATACACACTATTTTTTTTATTTGACCAACATTTATTAATTTGACAATTTTGACATGTTGAAATTTCAAACCAAACATATGACGCGCCTAAAGGATAATGTAGAGAACCACAAGCTGATGGTTGGCTGGAAATAAATTTGTCTTTGTTGTTTGTGCAGCCCTACCGATGGCCCTTTCTCTGTTTTATGCGACTTTCAGTGTTTTTTACAGAACGGATCTAGTAATAGTAGTAGAATCACGATAAATTCTTGTTTAGGATAAATTATCGGACTAGCTCGTGGTTTTCTGAACCAACAATTTCATTCGCGAAATTACTAAACAAGAAACTGTCGTATCGAACGCCGAATACAATGAGAAAATGTCCTTGAAAAATCAAAAACGATCATTTCATGACATGACAGGAAATAGAGAAAACCGCGCAGAATCATACTCACATCCTTCAATGATATCCGTAACGTCTAGCAGCTGCGAAGGCAGTATCCTCGGATACATCTTGTAGCTTTTGCCGAACCTGGGCATCTGCACGATGAGGCATGACGGCACCTCTTTCAGCTTGATGTCGCTGGTCAGGAAGCTCTGCTCGAACAGCTGCTGCACCGTCGGCAAAGTCAAGTCGGCGTCCTTCATAATAACATGAATATTCATTATGAAATGTAATAATGTGGAAGATTCCTATATTGAGGTTTAATTTCACTGTAAAGTTTGTAAAAAATTATTAAACATATACGTATTTTTCTTTTTTTCGTAAGATTTTCGCTTCACAAAAAAATAAATTAAAGAGGAACTTCGCTCCTTCACCCTTTTTATGACGTACCAACTTTCTGAAAATCCACATTCACACAGAGTTAAAATACGATTCCCTGTGCCAGTAAGACGTTGCCAGAGAAAATTCTTCTTTGAATGCATAATAACTATATCATAACAGCAACTGGATAAAATAGGTTCTTCAATCCAACTTTGTCAAGTATTATGAATAATTTCCATTAATCTCTCATTGGCTGAATGAAGTTGATTACTAATAACGATAAAATATGATATTTTGCGATAGTATTCATAATTTTTCACTATCGTTATATTACAATATGTTATTCATAACTGGTCAGTCATTTTTTTGCTAATGAATTCATTCCTTAATAGAACGGATCTATTTTCTAGGAAAGTTGCAGATTATATCTTGCAACAGCGCCTAATACTTCGAGTCCGTCCACACCACTCAAAATACTGACAGGCACAACAAGAGGAAGGAGCCATGGATGTCGGCTTCATTCTGTTCTGACCGATGACAGTAAATTAGGAAGGATAGTATCATTGAATGCAGCCGATAGTGATTCATTGATTCAATGATATTTTCGTTTAGGATCGAGCTCTCCTCGACATAATTCAATACCGAAATAACAAGACCATAACCTGTCAGAATGAAGCCAGCTACCCTCTGCATTCCAGCTCCGAGTGCACTTGTGGTTATGTATCTTCTTCTTCCTTTCGATTTGGATGGCCTTAGCCACCTGGGCTATCTGGCCAATCAGCTATTTTCAGACTAGATTCAGAATGTACGTCACAGTTTGCCGCCCCGGAAATCAGAAATTGCTTTTATTTGAAAATGAAAACGACTTGGACTTTATCGGTCGCCATTCTGTACAGCGTGGACATAAAACTAGAGAGTTCCGAACTTATTTTATGAAAATTCATCTGAAGAAAACTTCCCCATTAGATGCCAACCTTTTCGACGAACAGCTGATAGTGGAACGTCTCCTGGCCGGAGCTCAGCTTCAGGAAGGGCTCTACCCTGAGGATCTGCGCCAGCAGCGAGTTGAGAAACTCCTCGGGGTCCTTCTCTTCGCTGGTGAGGCCCGACACGGAGCTCAGCCTGTCCAGGAGGCGGCGCAGCTTCATCACGTTATCCGCGCTGACGAAGAGGTACTTCCTCAGGGGGTTCACGATCTCCTCGCGGAGGACCCTTTGCACCTAGAATATGGATGGGATGGTCTATTTGGTCAATTCAATAATGTGTGGTTACAGTGTTGCCATTTTTTTCATGTCATACCACAAGTGATACTATTTTGACGGAAATATTCGGCGATTGTTACGACAGCTTGATGCCCAATAATTTCGCGAATGACGTTTATCAAAACTTTCGAGTTGTAGGCGAGGAGTTTTGGAACGTTATGAGCGAAATTAAAACAGCAAGTCGGAGAATATCAATCGACGGATATTTACAGGAAAAATAGTAACACGAGTTGTATTCGTATGACTATTTCATTATTGAATCAGACTAAATATTAATGATGAAGGACGTGAAAAATCAAAAGTTTTATCGGTGAAAAACGAGTATAGTTGGTCACGTGTGGGTCAATTCGCGGCTTCTGTATTGGTAGAACAAGTCCGATAATTTTTGGTAAACAAAAAATATTGCTCTAATACAGGAGAAACCGTAAAGATGGTCGCATCTGATTGGTTATCGAATGCTGAAGTCCAGTTATTCTTTCAGCCATTCTTCATGATATTCACAATTTTCATCTCTCTATAATATAACTAAAGCTATAACGAACTGACATCTGGGAATTATTATTTATTGACATACTCCTGTCATCTGAGCATTTGTTTTTGATGTTTGAGAAATTGATATTCATCATACAGGAAAGGAGTTGTTTTCTGTTGAATATTCAGAATGATATTATGTGCATATACATATTTTCATCTGAAAGAGAATGAAAATCCGGAACTTCAGAATATTTTGTTTTCAAATTCTTATCATGTGTGTTCAATAGATATAATTCAATGTTCGTCGTGGCATATAGATTGCTGTATACTCACTTCATCATAATCAGCAATATCGTTGGTGTCTTTGGGGCGGAACAAGAGGCTATCGAAAACGGAAGTATAGGTGAACATGGAAAACAGGGTGACATCCAGATAGCAAGAGTTATGGTGCCCCTGTATCCCCCGGTATTTTCCACATACCGCCTCCACATCTTCCTCTGTGGGCATACATAGAGGAGCCAAAGCTCCGGGTATCACAGGACAGTCCTAACAGAAAAACAAACGTTTGTACAGGGTCTATAACGAGAATTTATTGACGCATATACAGAGTGCAACGAAAAAAAAACCTAGAGAGTTGAGGGCAATATTTTATAAATAAAATGACATTATGAGCACATTTTTTTACGTATCTCAGTGACATCCAACTACTCCTCCAATATTATGAACTATGTCTCAATCACTTGAAAGTTATATTTTTTTGTCCAGATGATGTCAACAATAGCATGTGGGTAACCATACAAATCAGAAGTTGTTAGACAAACTGTTCAGTATTATAATTAGCAATATTTTGAATGACTTTTTACTTTTTGAATAATGCAGATATTTTATTTAAATTGTTTTTTGAACAGTATCCCAAATACTCATCAAATAGTTGATGTGACTGAGTATATGAGAACTTGCAACTTCTTTATCAAGTTTGGGACATCTTCTCATGAATACAATGGAATTATCAACAATTATTGCCGAATTTTGATTCGTAATTTCCCCCATGAACTGTGCATGATTGAAGTCTCTAACTAGCTTATCCATTTAGATTGGCAATGGATTGAGTATGATAGGAAAAACAATAATTGAAAGTACTAATCTCATTCAGTCTTGAATATATCATCTTGGATATTAAAAAAATAACTCAAATCCAATTAATATGCATTAGTTCCATTAAGAAATCAACACAGAGTTTTTTGAAGTATTAGCAGGAAGAATTGTTTCAGGAGAAAAAACAGTCAGTCCTTTCTTAAAAAACACTAAATTGTCCATTATTCAAGTTAGTCACCCTCACAAGCATTCAACTTTTCAAATCACAGCCATCCAAATCCAGGAAACATTTTTAGACTTTCAAAGTATTGTTAGTTTTCAGCTATCATTTGCGATTTTATGGTTTTTCAGCAAAATTGATTGGAACTAACTTTGAAGATAAAAATTGTTCTCAATTTATGATGTAAGTAGGGTTCTTCTAGGTAGCTTTTGGGTGCACCTCCAACAAATAGATAACATAAAATGTAAAAAAAGCGCTTCCGTTGCATTGGCGAGAATGAAAACTTGGGCTTCTCAATAGTACCTCTATAACAGGTGCCTGTATACGATAACTAGGGACATCCGGTAAATACAACACACCAAAAAATCAGAACTACCCGACCTATTGCATCTATGGATGTGCAGACTTATTGAACTACAAAGAAATACGAGATTCAACTCACAATTACTTGCTCAGGAGCAGCAGCCTCGCTGACAGTACTGGCAGCGATCTCCTGGAACCTAAAAAGAAAAAAGTTATTCATTTTCATAAAGTAGTTTTCACAATAGTAACATGTTTCACACGATTTTCATAAAAGAATGTGCGTGTGTTATGTTTAACAATCAACCAAATTCACTATAAATGTTGAGTAATGGTGTACAATAAAAGTTAATAGATAGTAATAATGAAATTATTATGAAATATAGTAGTTTAATAGTATAACAGGGTGTCCCACAATTAGTTTTCCCACTATTGCTAGTTGAGGAACGCCCTGGATGAACAAAACATAGTATCTGAAGTGGATCGAGAATTTTCTAGAAAACAGACATTTTTGTGTTTGCCTTCATTAAGTGAAGTACCCCAAGGATCCGTTCTTGGTGCTCTGTTGTTTTTGTGTTACACGTCAGCACAAAAAAGTTATGACTCAAAAGACATGTAGGTGGCGCCACCCCCACGAAAGAGACAAACCAACATAAAATTTGATAGTGTCATTAAAAAATCCCCCTAGATACCAAACTTCATTCATATATCACAATTATTTCGAAATTAATTAACAAAAAACAAAAATAAGAATTCAACTTTGACACTCTGTATCTCAGAAACGAAGAACTTTCGGACATATATTTATACGAACTGTTCTTCTTATTTTGACGTCAGCAACATGCTCCTGAATTTTCTACACGTACTTAAGAAACACCCTGTAAAGTTTTTAGTGTCGCCCGCAAATTTTGGTTTTTGCGGTTTCGTCGACGCAATAGGTCGCGTGCACGATGACCGACCCTGGAGGCAAAATATTGAAACACAACCTCATTCTTCTGTAAATTATTGAAACACAACCTCACTTTTTTATTTGGTTACAGAGGAATCAAAGGATTGAAATAGTTTTTCACGATATTTTGGCATACGAATCGTGTTTTTTGCGCTATTCATTAATTCAAGCATGCCTTTGCATTGTGCTGCTGTACAATGCACAAAAAATGCAGCAAGAGACTAAGAGGAATATGATTTTTCAGGTAAATAGTAATCTCACATAGTTATCATTATGAAATGTTGTCATTCCTTATTTAAATTCCTTCTGCCTTCTTCCACTCCTGCAATACAAGCTAATACTGCTAATAGATTGGAAATGTCTACAACACACACGATCGTCAGCATGTCAGACCAGTCCTCCCGATTGATTGCATGAATCCAATCTTCTTGCATTATTTTAGAAATTTCAGGTGTATTTCTATTAGCTCCTATCGCAGAAGAAATTCCAATAAGGAATTAGAGAAATTACCAAATTTCAAAAATGAAAACTATATGTGAGTGACTATAGTAGGTACTTACTTTTCAATCATAATATACCAACCGGAATACAGACTAGAGTCTCGAGATCATACCCGTGTGTTCACCGAACACGCCCGATCGTTCCCTAAGCGATGGGGAAACGTAAACGGTCAGCAGTAACTACGTTATGAATAATGGCGCGTGCCTGAATTATTTTGGAGTCAAATTTGTCAATTTAATGTACTTCGAAACGGAACACTAGTAGTTGTGTCTTCTTGTTTTACATAATTATATTATAGGTAGACATCAAATCAATAAACATAGTGCTCTCGCCATCGGTATTTGCTGAACTTCGCTATGGGAAAAATGTTGAATAACTATATTGGGATGAAGAATGATCTATACAGGGTGTATCTAAATAACACCGAAATAATTCAAGGGATAATTCCTTGTGATATAATATGATGAATAAAGGTCATATAAACATGTGTCCTAAACTTGCTTCGTTTTCGAGGTACAGGGTTACGTCCTGATTTCGAATCCGAAGTGATTTTCAACCTCTATCTTGCCTCCTAATATCATTTTCCGGAAATGTTGGTGGGTCCATGACCAGAACAGTGTTTTTCACTGAAGATTACCTCACTTTGGTCATAGTTGGTATATATATCTATCGCTCCTTAAAATTGAACAGTTACGTTAGATATACGGGTTGATATTCCATTATAAAAGTGACATATGCACACTGTTTATATTTTGAAATACATCCAGTGGGATTGAATTTTATTTTATGTTGAATATTAGAGTGTGTTTTTTTATGTGATATATTTGTTTTGTTTATTTCAAATATATATATTTTTTTAGTAGGCATACTAGTACTTCTTTTATATAATTCAGAAATCTGATCCACCCTGTATTTGGTTCAATTAAATGGCATCAGTAGATAGTAAATAGAATGTTAGGACACATGTAAGCCATTTTGACAAATCAATATAGGTATTGTATAGTTTCGATACAAAAAAAATCTCGATTTTTCACATTCTACGTATAGGTATACCTTGAGCTTGATCAACGAAATCATAGCTCAATTAGAAGAATCGAAAAATGTAATAAAATATAAGGTGTTCCATTTTGAATAACAAAGCTGCTACTACTATACTACTAAGTACTACATAACTCTACTAATAATAATTTCTAGTGAAGCAGATGAACATTATCGAAAATAATTTGAATAAAACGAGCGTCCTCGCCAACAAAACATAAGCATATAATATGTACATATAGTTTCATGATTTTCGATGAGTGGTTCGCTATTTACATGTAGGACTCGTCGTGACATAGCGAATTATTGTAAATAAAATCATCGCTTTCATTATCTGATAGGTCGCAGTAGATCACTTGATGCCTATCAAATGTTTCTTATTTATTAAAAAGAAAAAAATGTTGAAATGTGATCAAGAAAACTGTTGGTGGCCCACCCCGTACTACAAAAACAAAGACAGCATGAGAGAAACTGCCTGCCCACTCATTGTATAATGACTGCCTGCTCCTGCTTACGTCTCGGTCTCCCCACCGCTTACTTGTAACGATCGAGCGTGTTCGGTGAACACACGGGTATGATCTCGAGACTCTTGTAGAATACAGTGTCTTCCGCTGCAGTTTTTGTGCATTTCACAACAGCATAATATGATAGCATAAGCAAATTGATGAATAGCGGAAAAATACGATTTGTATGCCAGAATAATTGTGAAAAACTATTTTGATCACTTGTAAACAAATAAGAAAAGTGAGGTTGTGTTTCGATGTTGTGCCTCCAGCGTCGGTCATCTGACAGTTCTTGCACGCAACCCATGCTTTCTGTTTTTGAGAACCTATGACAATTTTACTGTCAACATTTGGTGAACAATCATTCCCGATAGCCCCTTTTACGCAAATAGAATTACGTTAATGTCTCTCTGTAATATACTTGTACGCATTTTTTCTGAATAGAGCTGTACCTCGAGTCCCTGCGGCACTGCTCCAACGCCACGAAAACGGCCCTGTTGTCAGCGCACTGGAACAGCCTGTCTCCCTTGTGCCGCCCGTCGGTGAGTATCAGCGGCAGATGGGACTGCTCCTCCTCCAATTCCACTCCGACCAGCACGAAATTCGTGCCAGTCTCGATGCCCATCCATCGGATCACGCCGTACAAGGGGATCTCGCTGACGTCGTTCATCACCTGAATGCAATGGACTCATTAGGTGCGTTTTATTATTAAATTTGAACAAGGGCAGAGGCAAGGCCTTTTATGCCCAAAAATATATAAACAGATAATTAAATTAATTGAATATTGAAGTGTACAGGATATTGTATGGAATGAATGGATATAAATGACAACATATTGCACAATACATATGGATACCTATAGTTCACTGAAACTGATACGAGTCATAGCGGTTTTTGAAAGTATTAACACTTGGCGCTGTTACCACATCACCAGGTAGGGCGTTCCACCTCGAAAATATTCGATTAAAAAAGAATTGTTGTCTAGCAGTAGTACGAAAGTTTTCTCGTCTCAACTTCATGGAATGACTTCTCAATCTGTCGTCGTTCTGAAGTTGAAATAATCCAGAAAGATGTACAGAGAAGGAATCGTGCAGGATTCTGTAAGTCATAATGGCGTCTCCTCTAATACGTCGCTCACTGAGTTAAGGTAGATTCAGGCGTGATAGACGTTGGTCGTAGGATAGGTCACTAAAGCCTCTCACCATTCGAGTAGCATTGCGTTGAGCTCTTTCCAAATGTTGAATGTCTCGCACTAGATGAGGAGACCAAACCTGGACGGCATACTATAGGTGTGGACGAATGTATGATTTATACAATCGATTGAAGAGCCTTCGTTCAGGATGATCGAAGCATTTATTGAGTAAGTAAGCGCAACTGTTTGCCTTACTAACAACAGCTGCAACTTGGTTCGACACTGACAGTTTTCTGTTGAAGATTACTCCCAGGTCGTTGTGATTCTCTACTGCAGGTATGGTCTTGTTATCCAAGTAATAATCGAAGTCGGGGTTATTATTGCCAACGTGCAAAACAGAACACTTGTCTATATTCAAAGGTATATCCCATGTGATGCACCAGTTTTTCACGGACCTCAGGTCAGATTGAAGATCATCATGACTGGATAATGGATTTCCAAAAAACTAGCTATCGTCAGCAAAAAATGCATGGTCAGATTTCAAAACTTCGTGTAGATCCGATGCATAGGCAAGGAATAATGTTGGCCCCAAAACTGATCCCTGAGGCACTCCAGATAAAACTTGGTGAGAGTTTGAGTGACTCGAACCAACCCTCACTCTGAAGACCCTATTGGAGAGGAATGCGGCTATCCATTTGTGGAGTTTTCCTCTTACACCAAAGTGTTCGAGTTTATGTAACAGCTTGTCTCTTGTTTTGTTGACATTCCGGAAGCGATAGAATGAGTGGGCCCAAGGAATCGGATCGGCGCCAGACAATAAAAACATCCTTAATGAACATCTCATGCGGTGTACCGCAAGGGTCAGTCTTGGGAGCAGTTTTATTTTGAATCTACATGAACTCCATATCAAACTTAGAATTGAGAGGAAAACTTAAATTATTTGCAGATGACACGACATTGATTTATTTCTCCGAAGATTCAAATAATATTATCATGGACATGAAAAGTGATTTAGAGAAAATATCCTCTTGGTTACAAGTTCATAAACTATCTCTCAATTATAACAAATCCTCATATAATATGTACATAGCAAAAAGAACACTGAACATTTCGAATAGAACACAATCCTTCAACAATAAACTCATCAAATATACAGATGTTACAAAAATTTTAGGTCTTTATATTGATAAACGACTATTGTGGAATAAACATATAGATCATTTGAGAAACAAACTTAATACCATTACAGGCATTTTATTCAAAATACGAAATTTCATTTCTACTAGATACCTGAAGAGTATTTATTTCTCTCTTATTTACTCAAAATTTCAATACCTAATATCTATATGGGGAAGTACCAATATTTCACGTTTGAGTCCACTAATGGAATTACAAAATAAAACATTGAAGTGTATTTTCAATTAAAATTTTCTAGAACCAACCATGAATTTATACAAACCTAGAGATTTATTAGATCTGGCATCACTATACAAACTTGAAATATATTGAAAATTTCTGATTTAAATTTCAATGAAATTAATTCATTACATAATCATGGAACAAGACGATCAAATTTACTAATAGCAAATACGTGTAAGTCACTACACTGTTTTACCACTAACCAAACCGATTTTTTAACGCCTCGACACGTGTTTCGCTAACTATGTTAGCATCTTCAGGAGAAGATTAAAACTTTACACCTATGTTGAAATTTTCTTAAATCAAATGTGTGACGAAACACTGGCCATTTAAATATCAAAATTTGCGATATGGAAAATGTTGCCACATATTTTCAAGGCCTATTAATCAGGACCCTACAAAAAAACCTGGAAATTTTCTGAATACAGAGCAATCACCGAGGCTCTTAATGGGATTATATCTAAATAATGACAGCCCATTTGAAAAATCTGACTAAGCCACTAGATTCTACATTAAGAAAAGGACAGCTCTCACTTTTTCTATGAGTTGAAAAAAAGCTGATATATAGGGGAAGTTCCAAAAGGCAATATTTACAATGTCTCTCTGTATCTCAAGAACAGAACGATTTTGTTTGCGGTATCGTGGCTTTCAGAAAAAAGTAGCTAATTTTCACGGAAACCGCAAATCTCTATCAAATAATCGGTGAGATATCCCGTAAGGCCATCGGAAATAGGACATCCTGTACTTATTGGCTTAGCTTTTTTGCTAGCAATTATTTATGCTACTTCCCCAAAGAAATTGAAAATTGTGAGGTTGGTTAATGAATAAATGAATAAATGAATAAATGAATAAATGAATAAATGAATAAATGAATAAATGAATAAATGAATAAATGAATAAATGAATAAATGAATAAATGAATAAATGAATAAATGAATAAATGAATAAATGAATAAATGAATAAATGAACAAATGAATAAATGAATAAATGAATAAATGAATAAATGAATAAATGAATAAATGAATAAATGAATAAATGAATAAATGAATAAATGAATAAATGAATAAATGAATAAATGAATAAATGAATAAATGAATAAATGAATAAATGAATAAATGAATAAATGAATAAATGAATAAATGAATAAATGAATAAATGAATAAATGAATAAATGAATAAATGAATAAATGAATAAATGAATAAATGAATAAATGAATAAATGAATAAATGAATAAATGAATAAATGAATAAATGAATAAATGAATAAATGAATAAATGAATAAATGAATAAATGAATAAATGAATAAATGAATAAATGAATAAATGAATAAATGAATAAATGAATAAATGAATAAATGAATAAATGAATAAATGAATAAATGAATAAATGAATAAATGAATAAATGAATAAATGAATAAATGAATAAATGAATAAATGAATAAATGAATAAATGAATAAATGAATAAATGAATAAATGAATAAATGAATAAATGAATTAATGAATGAATGAATGAATGAATAAATGAATAAATGGATAAATGAATAAATGAATAAATGAATAAATGAATAAATGAACAAATGAAAAAATAAATTAATGAGTAAGTAGATGAATAAATGAATAAATATACAACTTACCTCGACCAGACTGCCGATGACCAAGTCATTGGTAGTTCCCGGCTGGGGATCTTGATATTTCGGCTTCTCGTTCAAGTAGAAGGTGGATCGCGCCGCTTGCTCGTTTTTTTCGTTTATTTCTAAGACAGACAGGGGTATGTTATTATAAAAATCGTCTTCCATGCAGCGCGAGTTGGCGTAGATAGCATCACCGTTTATTTTAGATTTCATTGCTTTGATTTTGCTCAATTTCTTGTAGTTAGGGGCTTTTCTGTGATGCAAGGACATGGTTAGTGAACTATTACATGTAAATACAAACTTCTCAACAATTTTTTGGTGCAACACATTTTTTTATGTAATGGTGAATTATTTAGAAGGAATTTATTGACACTGTTTAACACAGCATGTTCAAAATAAACTAGTGGGTATAAATAGAAGTCTAAAAAAGTCTGCAAGTGTAGTTTGACTAACTCATAACAGCAGGCTATTTTGGGATTTTCACAATATTGCAGGTTCAGCACTCCAGTGGAAAGCAGGAAGTTTGAGAAATTCTTTGATAATGTTTACTCATAATATGTATTATTGTAGGAGAGGTTCACCTTCCTTGTACACTCAGAGAGTAATTGTATGGAAATAAGAAGAAATTACATGATATGTAGGAAAAACAAGGCAATTATAATGGACTTGAATAGATGTTGAACTGATGAAATAAATAATGAATGGGAGGAATAATTGAGAAATTGAAAAAAAAATTGAAATAAATGGGATCAGAAAATTTACCTCAGAGGAAATTCTATTATAATTCATCAACACTTGATGGGAACCAAAAAGTATGAAAGTAATAAGGGGAACTAAAGGAAAATAAAATGGAATTGGAGGAAATGAGAAAAAATGGAGGGAATATGAAAGAAAAAATAAATAAATTGTGATTCTACTGTTAACTGTTAGTTGTCCTTATCAATAATTTTGTTCAGTGGTCAATGGGCTGTTTTTAATAATGTTTTTAAAACTTGGTAGCCTATCATCAACTAATTCCCAGAATTAAATAAGTTGATTGCTGTGAAATGTAAATATTTCTCATATATAAACAATTTTTGAATATTTGAAGATATTGCTGATTGTCTCTTGATTTATTACTGAAATAAATTATACTGGAAGTCCTTAGTCTTTTTGAGTCATTTTGTATATGCCATAGTTAGTGGTTATATGATAATTGTAATGGGTCCCAATAACAAACTATTTTAATTTGATAATACATTTCTACAATGAATGAGTTCCAGAATTAATTCATTGCAATCAATTTTTGAGGTGATTTGATTTACTTACTATGGTTTATTTCTGCTTTTGGACTAACTTTATTCTCAATTTTGAATTCAGGTGAATCATGGTTGGTGTAAAATTTTGCAGTACTCTTCTTCAAGGTACTACTACTGTCCAAGAAATGTGAAAGAGGATTCACACTTTTATTTCTCCTGCTAAGAGTATTAGTTTCTAGTGTGGAATACTTTTCTTTGATATTATCATTCTTATCAAGATTTTTCTTGAAATTAGAGAATGCTTCTAAATTTGCTTTGTCAGTAGTGCCAGACCATGTTCCTATGACATCAATAAGATCTACTTCTGATTTATTTTTGGCTTTCTTAGTTTCAGCCATCAAGTAAGTTCTCTCTGGTTGGATAACACTGTTCTGGTCAAAATCATTGTTTGTATTGATAGTTGTACTACCAATATCAAGCATATTTTGCAGGGAGAGAGAATTCCTCATGGATGTACTTATACTTGGAATGGTAAGTTGTTTGGGATACTCTCCATACCTTGTCACAATTTCTTCATTTTTTGGTTTGGAATTACTCATGTTTTTTGTTATGCTGTATACATTTTTATCAATGTGGTAGTCCAAATCAGAAAAAGCTGTTGATTCAGTTGTATTATTTGGTATTACTCTCTCTATTGTAGTGAATACACCAAATCCTGGCAAACATGTGAAGTATTGAATCCCAGCACATGAGCCATTGCAGTTATTACCTTTTTTTCTCTCCTAAAAAAGTATCCACTATATTGAATATGTAATTCTCCAAATGTAATAGAATTTCAAAATCCACAAATGCTAAAATCTCAAAATAAATCACCAATATCAAGTGGAGATATGAATTTCCCAATTAATCATACCTATAGCAAGCTAAATCCTAAAGCAAACTGAGCAGATATTTCCAAATTGATTGAAAAGCCTTCAACTTACATGTAAGGAAATACCAAAGCAGTAACCCATGCCTTTGACAAGGCCAATGTATTTCACACTGCCTAAATAGATATTATCAGTGCCATCAAACCCCACCACCACATCCTTGCATATGTGCTGCAATTTTTCACAAAGTTCCTTGTTTTTAGCCAATTTGATTCTTTCTTGAGGTGAAGTAATAGAAGCAATGTAAGGCCACAATTTGTCACTAATCCTGATGATGCTGTTTTCAGAACAGCAAAACTGCACGGATTCCCATGTTTCTGTATCTTTCAAATACCTAACAGCAAGGTTTCCTCCTCCTAATTTAGCATCAATGATCACAACTTGGCCCAACAGAGCTGTTCTCTGTTGTTGGCCTTTTGGGAAGTCTTTGATTAAATCGTTGTGGATAAAGATTCCATGCTCTTTTTCTCTTGTTGTCATTTTCTCAATTCTCATTGTATTTTAGAAAAACATAAGCACATGAGTCATTTGTTGTCTGATATGGACATGGACATGTATAGAGGGAAGAAATGCATGTAGTAATTATTGTAATTATATTCTTGCACTATAAAACCTTGATTATCTATAAAGAAGCTATAAAGAAACAATGTGATTTTAAATCACTTCTTATTCCAAAATGAAAAATCTGTTCATTTTCTGATAATCCATGTAAACAATCTTTTCAGCTAAAACGTCAAAATTGAGAAAATAGAGCTGTTTTTTCTTGTTGAACCGTGTTCAAGATTAGTTTTGAACCGTTTTCAAGCGTGACGTAGTGATTTATCTCATTCAAGAAAACAGACTATTTCGAAATTGAAGCTGTCATAAGTCAGATACATCACACATAACCTGAAAACCGAAATCAATAATTGAATTTTAAAATTGATGATTATGTTTGAGAACTTGAGAAGTGAAAAAGAATGGAATCACTAATAGTGTATTTTTTAATTGATAATCAGCAGATGAGGCACGGTGTTTGTCTTTCACAAATGATGAATCAGTCCAGAGAAATAGATAATAATCTGGAAATGATTATTCTTCTCGAAAATTTCCAGCATCTCAAAGTGGAAAATTATGCACCATACCCTCATCACCATTTTTTAAGCTATATAGTCAATTGCTCAAAAATAATATTTATAACCTAAAACTTCGACGTTTTCCCACTCCTCCACTGGTTTTCCTGGTTCGAACACGGTTCGAACCGTTCATTTAGAAGTTTTTGAACCGCAATGAACCGTATTACTTGGTGACGTCATAACTTGCTCAAGAAAATGCTTGATTTCAAATCGGTTTGAACACGGTTCAACAAGAAAAAACGACTTCAAGAAGAAAACATTAAATGAAAACATGAAAACAAAAACAGCAAATGACATTAGTGACACTGACATGTGACAAGTAAGAGACATTGAGTGACACTGTGTCAAAGTCTTCTGATTCTCTTCCATTTTTTAGTCATTTTGTCAATTGTTGGTCGAACAACGAACATAGACCCAGGTATCTCCTGGCTTAATCCGAAATGGGTATGTCTCAAATGCCACAATCATGAACGTCAAAATCTATCAAAACATTGAATCAATCAAAACCATAAAAACAAATGTGATGTAAATCTATAAAAATGTGAATATTTGGTATTTATTAATTTCATTTTATTCTTCGACATGGGAACTGAAGAAAAGTAAGTAAAATTTATTTCGAAAAGGGTATTTAAACTCATTTTTTATGACTAGGCATAGTAGCATAGATGATAACATCTACATAGCATCGAATTATGAAGGCACAGTGAGACAACTAGACATATACTATGGGATCGGTAAGATATATTTTAGATATATTATTGCCAGAAACGAACCACACAGTTTTTCACTCATAAAACATAAAATGTTCTGTTTCCAGTTAAGAGGCAACTATTGTGTTATCAAAGCCCCATAACTGGTCTTTTCCCAGTTTTATCAACTGATATAGAAGTAGGAAGTGTTCGTGACAGTATATATTGTGCCTCTGCTGTCTGGGGGCTATTTCAGGCTTACAGGAGAATAGATGATGATAGAGGCAAGTCCTATGAACTAGGACAATCAACTGTGAAATGTATGAGAGGCATTTTAGAATGCTGGGTGAAACAAGCTGAAAAAATACAACTGTTCAAAAAGAATCAGTGTTGTGCCAATGCTTTACATGTCAAATTTCATTTAACTACTGGGAATGCTATATTGAGTGAAACTGAGTATAATCATCTTCAAATAGATGTTATTTCCATCTATCTCCTGTTTTTAGTGCAAATGATTACATCAGGATTACAAATTATTTATACACAGGTGAATTATAGGTACATAGGTTTTTCAGGAATATCAGCAAATAACAGATTTTTTATAGGATGAGGTTGCATTTGTACAAAACCTGGTTTATTATGTTGAGAGAGCATATCGCACACCTGATTTTGGTATGTGGGAAAGAGGAAGTAAGTACAATGATGGGACTCCAGAAATACATGCTAGTTCTATTGGACTTGCCAAAGCTGCTTTGGAAGCTATAAATGGTTGCAATTTGTTTGGTGAAAAAGGTGCTTCATGGAGTGTAGTGTATGTAGATATTGATGCACACAACAGGAATAGAAGTATATTTGAAACACTATTACCAAGAGAATCTTGTTCAAAGGTAAAAAAAATTCATGAATGTTCCAGTATAATTATCATAAATTTGCATCTGGAAGTCAAATGGTAGTACAATAATTTCTTCAAAAATCCAAACAATCTTTTTTCTTTATTATCATCCATGGTACTACTATTTTAAAATGAAATACCTCTATTTAAGTCAGTTTGTTTTTACATTTTGCTGGTTTTAGGATGTTGATTCTTCACTGTTGACTACAATATCTTTTCCTGGTTTTGCAACACATGAGGAAATGTTATATCATGAAACTAAGAACAAAATTGTGAGTAATTTGAAAGGGAATTATGGATTTAAGAGGTTTATTCGTGATGGTTTCAAAACTGAGATTGAGGATACCAACAGAAAGTAATATAATTTTACCTTTACATTGTTAATCCTAATAATTGATTTCAAGGTACTATGAAAAAGGAGAAATAAAAAATTTTGGGAATCTGGAATGTGAATGGCCCTTGTTTTATATATTTATGATCATTGATGGAGTATTCAAGTCCTTACCTGATCAAATTCTGGAATATCAGGAACTTCTTAAAGAAAGAATCATGGTAGACCATAATGGAGGTAAAAACTCTTGATGTGAAAATATGCATATTATCATTATGTAAAAGTAATGTGAAGCAAATTTTTAAGAGTACATATTATAAAAAAAATTGTTGAATGGAATGGAAGTATATTGAAAATAATTTTAAAGAAATTGCCTGTAGAAGTACTAGGTGATAAAACTAATACATAAATCATATATTATATGATTATAAGAAATAGTAGTGAAAGAAAGATTACACTTTTGCATTGTCACAATAATTGTATTTACAGTTTGTGAAACAGACATTATTTCTTAGATCCTGTTATTCCCATGTACTACTATGTACCAAAAGAAAACATAGAAACTGAAAGAAATGAACCAAATTCAACTACCAAAAAGCCTTTCACTAATGGGGGTTTGTTCCTGTGGAATCAATCAATGTTCATTTTGTCTCAACTGTTAACTGGAGGTCTTCTTCACATCAATGAGTTAGATCCTATCAGAAGATATTTGCCTTCTCATAATAGACCAAAAAAAGGTGGAAGATATTCAGCATTCCAGGTAAAATCTTTATTCACATTCATTAAGATAAGGTATACCTACCACTTATTCTTAGTAGTGTTATTGCTATACTATTGCCAAACTAATTTTTATTGAAATCAATGGACTAGTATCTGAAGTAAGGCAACTTTTTATGTCTGCTCTCTGTGCTTTTTTTGGTAATTTTATTTCCTAAACTAGAAGCCTATTAAAAAAAATTCTGAAACACGTTGATTTTCAATATCAAAGTTTCATATATACAACAACAAAATTTATATCAGGGTGATTTGCATTGAGGTAATGGCGTCATCGGCAATTTTCTTTAATTTAACACCCTGTATTTTGAGTGAGCTCATTTGTATTGATCTAAAAATGTCACAAAATGTAGGGGTGTTACATTTGAGAAAATTGTCGATGACGTCATCACCTTGTTAAATAAAATTTTGTGCTAAAATGCAGTACATAAAAATTAAAAATTGACGTTTCAAATTTTTTTCCAAAAGCTTTTAGTTTAGGAAATATCGAAATTATCGCCCATACTATGCGGACACACTGTATATTTGTTTATAAAGTTATTAAAAAGGTCACTAATATTTTATATATTACCTGAATGTACAAAATAATGATATAAATGGTAAATTATATAATAATTGGCAATAACATAATTTATATGTTCCATGTCTTCCAATGACCAGGCTAAATCTTATTTTGTAAGTAGAAATGTAAATATTGAATTGGATTGCTTCTTAGCATGCTGAATTTATTGCTAACTAATATTTGTTTACTCCATTGAATAACTCATTTCATTGGCATGTTTTATAAAATATGTTCACTGATTGATGTCATCATTTTACTCTGCTGCTGTTCTAAACTTTTCATTCTAGCAAGGCCGGACTGGGCCGCCGGGCGATCGCCCTTGCACCTCCAGTCCGGCCCTGCATTCTAGTCATGAAACTATCCGTTTTGTTAATGATGATTTTGATGTTAACCCTTTTCTGTATGCTATTCATGCTTTTCACATTCAGGTATACATCTCTGGAACTAATACAGCTGAAAAAATGTCTTCCATACCTTGGTATTTGATTATTATTTAACATCATGCATGTAGATGCATGCGTATTTTCAGTTCAAAAGATCTATTGTTGAAATTAGTTCGTACTATAGGCATTGTGCTCTTGGAAGTTTGATGCAAAATACTCGAAATTTATTATTTATTTTTATTTATTATTATTATTTATTTGAATACATATCTTTGGGTAACGGTTTGAGGAAGTCAAATACAGGGTGCGGCCATACAAACAGTGCAGTTTTGTTTGGTTACTGCTCCAGACAGATGTAAGTGTAGGCATCACTACTTCAGAAATCGCCGATATCACTGCATCGATTCTGGACATCATATTGCTGATGTAATCTCCAAAACTTAGGTGAAAAATCAATCAGAATAAACCACTTTTTCGTCAGCTGAGCCAACTTTTTTGTAATCCCTTCAAAACTACATTGTATGTTTTGCCGTACCCTGTATAGTTTTTCTGATAGAAACGTAGAGTGTGTTTATTGATGATATTTATCCTCAAAGAATAATTCGAAAATGCACGGCGTGTTGAAATTGAAGGAAAAAAATAATAATTGCGAAACTACTTGAGATTTCAGTGATATTCAGTAGGTACATAGAAACATTTATTATTCAACTATGAAAAAGGTTAAATCAATACAAGAAAGCTCAATTAATCAATAGTAATTAAATTAAGAGGTTCAATATGACCAATGACAACAATATTCACATTCAAAGAAGACAATAGTTCGACCTGGTCCTTATAATCACTTATTGAATACTTGCAAGATGCTTCGGTACCAATACAAATATCCTGGTATATTCCTATAATAATGATCCCAAATTATTTTGTGACCCTGGCGACAGCGTAATGCCTAGAGTTCCCAGAAATATGAGAAGAGAAGAAGAAAGCGAAATACATCTTCAACCTAAGTTCCTAACGTCATTATCGTCTGTTACCTTCATGCCCAAATCCTTGTTTCATCTAGTCAAGATGCAACTGTTCAATGATAATCCTCAGATTATGAAATTTTTCAGTTGTGTGTTTATTTCTCTGATATCTGCAGTAAGTAATCAGTCCTGCCCTTGTCTTACAGAAATAAAAAATAAATACGTAAGTCGAATCTGGTCCTCCTCGCAGCTGATCAATTGAGACTAGAGACTGGGAACATTTTATATCATAGAAAGTACCCCAACAATCACCTTGAACGAGAAAGTCTCATCTCGCACAAAAATTGACATATTGTTCGACTGAATGATATAGTAAACGCCGTCTTCTCGAATAATCATCCTATTAGCTGTTCCAAGAATTATGTTCGCTTGAACTGCTTGTTGCTACATAGCTGATAGCTCCAGCTGCTTGGCACTTACTATAACTCCAGGTAGGCTTGAGTGCTCTGTATCCTTTGTAAAGAACTAGGCTCTGATTTGAATAGATCCGGCTCGAAGGACCAATGTGTTCGATGCTTGATAGATAGTGGACTGTATTTGTAATGATATGATAATTAAATAAACATTGATAAGAGGATTGCAATTCGAATTGTAATCCTTTGTTTATTGATTTCTTTGATAAATCTCGTTTCAAGAATTTATCACCATCCTAATCTTTTATCGATAGGGAACAGCGACAGACCTGGTGGTCCAAATAGTCCTCATCGCCGAATCGATGCGTCTGCAGGCCATGATGGCCACCTACGGCATCCAGACGCAAACGCCCCACGAGGTCGAACCGGTGCAGATCTGGTCCTCCTCGCAGCTGGTCAAAGTGTACACGAACCTGGGCGTCAACCACAAGTTGAAGCTGGAAGGGAGGCCGGTCAGACCGGTGGGGAGCCTGGGCACCAGCAAGGTGTACAGAATAGGCAAGAATCATGAACTAACTACACTCTATAGTCCTCCAACTAGATATGATAACCTTGTCCTTGAATAATATTGTCAGTTCAGCCACCAAACATGTCCATCTGACATAATGCTTCGTGGTCTGTGGAAGTGCGCAGGCGTTGCAGCACAGGTACATTGGTTTCAAAATGGCGTTAATATTTTGTTCGACGTATGACGATAGCCTTTGAGAAAAAAATCGTGAAAATCGCTCCATAAATAAAAAATTATGAGGGTAGCCGCTTTCAAATGGCTCACTCTGTATGTTCTTCGTTACTTGATAAGCCAAAAAATCAAAAGGAGGTAACAACAGATGCTTGAAGTAGTTTCGGCTCTTGCCACTCTTAATGCTGTAATTACATTTTCTTCTATCGATAGCGGGAGCCACTGTCCTATGCTACCCTCTTATATTCGAAACCTCCGATTTCTATCTGTACCGAGACATGGCGCTCCTCATAGACGACATCAAAACGGAGCTGCAGTTTGTAGGGAGGTACTGGAGGCTTTCCGGCAGGCCTACGGTCTGCTTGTTGATGAGAGAGGAGCATATGAGAGACCCGCAGTTCAAGAAGATGCTGGACCTGTTGGCCATGCTGAAGAAGGGGTACTGTGATACTGTTAAAGTGCGGATAGGGAGACTGCAGAATCTCATTTCCAGCTCGTGCGTGGGTGAGTTGTCATACACATTTTTTGAGTTGTTCTCCAAAGAACTCACTTATACAAATGAGAATAATGGTGTAGGTACTGTAAAGCTATCTACGAAGTACATGATTTGACGCTTCTTCACGGGTTATTTAATATTAGTCTCGGGCGCCACCTATTTTATAGTGGTAGGTCCACTCTATATACTTCAAATCAAATACTTCGCGCTGCTATGATTACCCCTTATATGTAGTGTTTACTCGCGGAACAAAGTGACATACGTTATCTACTATCACTATTTAATATCCGGTATCAAATGATCAGATTCATTCCTTCATGCAAACCTTGATTCTTCAAACCCTCTGATTCTGGAACCGGTTGAAAACACGGTAGTTCCGACTCAGTCTTCAGAACCTTTCCTAGATCCGGTTGTTAACTCGGTAGATCGAGGAAATGATCTGAGAAAACTGAACGCTCTTTAGAAAACCTGCTTTAAGACAGAAGGTTTTCAACCAGGACAACTGCTTCCTCACGCTCTGGTTGGCAACACAGTGGAACGGGAGGCAGCGTTGTATATTGACCTAGAGATCTGCAATCACTCTATCACTCTCACCTAGATCTGATTTCGACAACGGTGTCGTGGCTACTGTGGGAGTCGAACGGCTCTAACGTTGACTTTCTTGAAAGACGGCTCCGAGTCAACAGACAAATTCACGTCCGTTCTCGCTTAAATAGTACGCGACAAAACATGTGCTAGCATTAATCCCAACGTTTGTATTGTTTATAATACTGCGCGTTAGTCAATGATACGGAATATTATACTGGCGGATGCTATCTCAACCGAAATTCTAGTAACTTCGTTATAGTACCCTTTACAGGGTATTCTATTGATAAACGAAAAGAGCACCAAACTTAGAATCAATCAGTGTCCATTCAATTTTGCCAGGTACAATTTGGTTTTACTAGCCAAATTTTAAACCTTAAATAATCTTCCATATTAAATTATGAATATATTTTGTAGTTCTCTTTTCATTATTCCCATTGGATAATTCCCTTTATTTGTATGGGTGTAGAACACGCCTCAATGTGTATTTACAAAGCCGTATCCTCGTTTTTTTTTCATTTTCATCGCCCTGTATTCACGATTCTCATCACTACCTTTGTTAATGTCTTTGTTTCATGTAATAGTGAGGAGAACTACAAGACATCATACCTCATTTTCCTCAGTAAAATTTCTCTTGAACTTCACAACTTGAACACAACAACTCTTGAACAACTTCAAAAATCTTGAAACGGCATTATTGTATGTGTTAGAATTTGTATTTTATATCTAAATCGCGAATGTATGGGTTTAGTAGTTAGGGTGACAGCAGGTGTCGTGAAGATAACTTTGTTTAATAATTTTTGATGATTATGTCAATAAAAATACTGAATAAAAGTCAAGACCGATTTACAGAGTATTTCATTGAAAAAGAGCAGATTTTGCTGATCCTTCGACCGCGGATATAAGAACATCCGGCTCGAAGGACCAGCACAATGTATGCTTGTACACTTGTCTTACCTCAAAAGAGACAGATGTTCTTTTAGCATGGGTAAAATCAATAACATAGTCAATAGTTTATTGAAAAAATATCTCAAAACGAGGAACGGAAGGCCCTGAAAGGGTATGTTTGGTTACAGAAGGCTTTTCTTTTTCCTTCAGAAATACAGCGTGTTTGAACATAATAATATGTTGAATATATCCGAGTAGGAACCTGTAAAAACTAATTGGAGTGTTGTACAGGCATAAGAATGCAGGCAATAACTGACTAATACAACGAAAATGAGTTCATCGATATATTTTCATTATTCAATATGGGAATTCCAAAATTTCCCGTTTATAAGTTCATTTAATTTAATTAAATTGTTATCTTGCAGAGCATCTGGATTTTATGAATATCCTGGACACTCCCTATGACAGTTTCAACCATTTCAAACAATTAGAACATGATTATATTGGATACCAAAGCTTGACAGATGTCCCAAAAGTGTTGAATTATCAAGATGAGGTCAAGGATTATACTGATTATACTGTGAGCAGTTGATTTTTCTCTCGACAAATCTGTATATCGGCCGTTTTTCAGCATTTCAAGCATAAACCGACTCACGACATAGTAAAATCGATCAGTATGATTGAGAGTATGTTCGCAAAATGTCAACTGTTTGGAATACTTCAAAAAAGAGAGGGCAGAGATTTCAGGGTGAACAATTATACAGTTGAAGAGCATCTCAACAATTTGTACCAACAAGCGGGTTGCTTGAGACACTGGGCTTCTGTCAGATACACCAGTAGTTTGTTAAATCACAATGTTGATTCTATCAGTCCTTTCATTACTGGAGTTTTGGTTCATGGAAAACAGGTAAAAATCATCATCATCTTCATTATTCCCAAGAAACAATTGACGTATGCTTGTGCTCTCCCAAATTGATATTAAATATTGTAATTTTGAGTAAATCAGACAGAAATATATTATATTCTTCAAATATATAACAGGAATGAAATTTCGAATTCTATATAAAATGCCAGTAATTGGATTTTGCTTCTTTCTTTCTATTAGTTTAGTCCACGAAAATAGTTCATCAATATAAAGACCTAAGAATTTTGTAACATCTAAATATTGTATGGCTTTCTGGTCGAAAAATATTGTTGTTTTCAATATATCAGTTTTTCTTTTTGAAATATACATATACGTAGATTTGTCATAGTTGACAGTCAGCTTATGAATTTGTAGCCAAGATGATTTCCAAGTCAATTTTCATATCATCAACTATATCATTAAATTTTTTAGAGGAATAGATCATTGTAGTATCATCTGCAAATAACTTTAGATCTCCTTTCAGTTTCAAAGTTGATATTGAATTGATATAAATTAAAAATAAAATTGGACCTGAAACGGAACCTTGAGGTACACCACATTAGATCTCTCTTATGGAGCTACAAATATTATTGACTTCAACATACTGCTTTCTATTTTCCATATAATTTTTTAACCTATAACATGGTTGAATGATATGTTCACACTACGTTTTTCCCTGTAAACAAATATTTTGAGCATTGTTTATCATTTTAACAATTGAAATTATAAAAATAAGCCGAATGTTGTTGATTAATGGACTAAAGCAATATTCTTCAGTTAGTTTATGATGACAATGTGATCTTCAATTGTATTTAGCAATGTTGGTTAATTTTGCAATATGAACTGATCTGATTTTCAGAGATTTATTTCTGAACTCTCAAAGTTTCTTTGATATTAAATAGTCGTAGATAAAGAGATCATTATGCGCTCGTTGAATAATATACTATTGTGTATTATTATTTACAATTTAGTTAACTGTTGGAGTTATGGGCCAAAACGAAACGGTATTTGACAAACCGATGACACCGGCGGAAATCCAATCTGTAGTATACAATACGATACAACCTTTCGATGTCATACAAGCGGTCCTTCAACAAGAAATCATATTGTACTGCGGCCGCTTGATTTCCACCAATCCGGATCTGTTTGAAGGGATCCTCAAGATCAGAATCGGATGGGTTTTGGAGGCGATCAAGTACTATTTGAACATTTTCGGCCGCCAAAAGAAACTGGAAGACCACAGTCCTTATGAAGTTCGTCAACTGTTGCACAAGGTTTTGTCTATCAACGAGTGGGGAAACAAAGAACAGTAAGGATTTTCCAATTTTTCACCCAAATTAGATTTTCTTCTATATTGATCCGATCATTTTTTTAAATTGCCGGTATACCATAGGTTGATGAATAACGTCTCATATCAAAAGGAACACCTTGTATCAGGAGCTTTCCTAGAACATTGATAATTTGTTAGAGTCACTAACCCTTGTTTTTTAATCACTATCATACAAAAGGCTGTCCTTCATCCTTATTCTAGGCATTAATTTGCAGTTGAAGAGTGGAGAAGTGCCAAAACTCAAGGTTTTCATATATTTGCTGGAATTGCCCTCTGAAGATGGAAGTCTGAAGAAAATGGAATTTAGATGGTTTTATTTTGATAGTGCCAACTGTTTGCTCATCATTTAGTTTTTGTTTATATCGGCTGAATTGCGGTGTTAATATGGAAAATATCCAAGAAAACAAGGAAGGTTTATTGAGAAACAGAAATGAAAGAGATGAATTGGTCCCAAACATCCATCAGATCAAGTTGTAAGACAATCCAACAGTTCTCTTGATGATGGAAACTTTTTTGACGTAGATCTATTGGAAGAAATCAATATTGTGAATAAAGGCAGAACCTTTGAACATCTGAAATCTGCTACTTTGAATATTTTGCCCAACGAAAACAAAATATCGGGGAGCAAACAGTCTTTATATCGTCTATCATTTCTCACCTGATAAATCCCGGACATAGGAGAAAACTCAGGGCCAAGTAGCAGTTCAGCTCTACTGTAATTCGTACTTATAACCTCCAAACAAGATGGTACTTATGCCTCAACATTGAAGTTTTCACTTATAACGTTGAAAAAGTTCAATTTGGTACTCACGCCCTTTCAGTTTTAGATCTTCAAATTATTTCCTATCATTGGATATGAATTTTTCATATGGGATATCATAATCCATAGTTAAGGTATATCAAAACTCATTTTTGAAGTTGAAAATAAAAAATAGCGATTTTCAGATAGTTTCCAGGATATCCGATTCATATATTTGACACTTAGTGCCCTTGGTACTTGCACTCTTCTTTATTTTCTTCTAATCTGTGTTATGGTTATGATTGTGAATGAATGTATCTTTCACTAAACTTGTTTATTCGATCCACCATACTTTAAATATGCAAGATGTTCTATAAACCTAGTTTCACTGGTTCTCCTAGTTTGACCTACTTATAAGAATTCACAATTATTGATGAATTTAATTTAATTTGAACTATTCCAAGTTTTTTTCACTAGTGAAATACCAATTATGGCGCATAATTCTTACAGTCTGAGGAAATGAGATCAATGTATGGTAAATCACAACAAAATTCACTTATCAAAATATTCCTCAATATCTCTACTTGAAATTCAAAATAAGGAAGATGATAGCAACTTCCGGTACAACCGGAAGTGAAGATTTCATTTTGATGTACTTTTTGAGATACATCTTATCAGCTAACGTCAAGAATCACCCAGTATATTATCATTTGAATTTCAGATTGACTCCAAGGCAAAAGAGGCAACTGGAAGGTTGCCTCTGTAGAGTACCATCCTCATTTTACAATCAAGTATGGGACATAATGACCAGAACACCAGAAGGTATAAGAGTGGGAGGTAACACTATTCCTCAGCAGCCTACCCTGTCAAATATGACACGATCCGAGTTGACTTTTTCGTTGTTAGTTGAAGAGGTACAATTATCATCCAAAATTATTGAGTTTATTTTTCTTTAGTCATTGACTGATCATTTTTCAAGATTCACAATATCTTCTTCTGAAACATACTGGAGTTGAAGGAAATTATATTTTGCGGAAACAGAGTTTGTATATTCAGATCGATTAGAAAAAGATGTTCAAAAAACCAATTCAGTGCATTATCCTCTCAGTTATTTTTTGTGGAACTGTTAGTTCATTTTTATTGTTTAGATGCTGAATCATGTTCACCAACCAGAACATAGACAATTGTTGGTTGAATTATTGACAATAGTTTCAACCATATTAGGAAGGAATCCAGAGTTAACATTCAGTCAACCTTTGGATTTAGAACAACTCATCAAGGATGCAGCTTATATGCATGCCAAAGTAAGTCTCAATGAAACATTGTTCTTTTAATCAAGATTAATTATTCTAACATTGTCAATATTTTTTAGGATCATGGTATAAAAGATAACAATATATCCAATCTGCTAGAGATTCCTTATATTAGATCAACTGGGTATTTAGCAAGAGCTGTTGTGAATACAGTTCTCAAAGGAGGTCAGATTTCAGAAAATATAGAAAAGGAACCAGAATCTTGTAGAGTGTCATAAAAGTGTATTTACTCAATAATTTTGTTGCAATACTCCATAATAATTTTTAGTACTGTTAATTAGTGTGTAAAATTAATGCAATGTTTTCCCAATAAAATGTTGAAGTTTATCACATTCAATCATTATAAAAATGCAAATCAAGAAGCTAACATTAGAATTGACACATTATTATGAAATATAATAAATTGGTCATACATTTAGGGATTAGACATTTCATTTTGAGGTTGGCTCTAAAAAACTGTCAAATGATAAATATGAATCAAGTCAGTGCTTGTCAAAAGCACATCAAAAGTATTGTATTTTCATTAGATCACAAATTTGAACTGTTGATTACTGGAAATAAGAGAAAATATATTATTTTGGACCCTTCCTTTTTCAAAGACAAGGCATTAGACAAATGACACTCAGTTTGACAATGATAGCTGCCAATGCCAATGAAAAGCACAAAATGTCTAACCCCTAGTGGAATGTGGTTAATTATACAATCTTTCTGAAACTGCCCACATTTCCAGATCTTGCAATCTAGTAATTGGTCTAACACTTGAGGTAGCCTCAATACTTTCATAATACTCCTTATAACAGTTCACAGAATTCTTGCAAATACATTTGTCTTCACCATCAACCTTCATTTTTAAAGAATTACCATTAGCCCTTCTCCTATTACCAATTTCATCTTTGATAGTTCTCAATTCATCAATATTTGGGGTCATACAATGTCCCAAGCTGGGATAAATAATGAATGCAAAAATAGTCAAAATTGTTAGAAAATAAATGGGAACAGCTACTGCCCAATACCTCTGGGGCAAAAAGCTGATTCCTATTGATTTCAGCCAATCTTCTGGAGTGACTGCCCATATTACATAAATTATGAAAAATAATCTGAAACTAACATACATCACAAACCCATACACTGCCCTACTTGTTGTGGGAGCTGGTGTATGTTCTGGCATTATCAATAGTAGTTATATTTCTCACTGACTGGTGGTCCTAGTAGTTCAATGGTACCAGATATCAAGTCTATTTTACCTAAAAATCCATTCACTGCTACCCGAAGTTGTCTAGCAGTTTTAGCTTTGAATACACTGAAAGAGGAGAGGTATTACAATATAATAGATGACATTTTGGATCATCTGAACTCACGCTTCTAAAGTATTCTCTTTTATGCTCAATGTTTTTGTGACTTCACTTCTCTTTGGTTCCTTATCGACTCTCAAAACATCATAGGCTACTTCAACAAGTCTATTATTCTCAAAAGGAATTGTTATAGTACTGTGACTATTAAGGTAAACACAATAATTATTTTTCTAGTTTCAACAAACATTCCTGCTCGATTTAGATCAAAAAGGATACATTTGGATGTCTTCCTCCATACCATACAGATTATTAGTTGCTTTTAAAAAATATATTCTGGTTTCCAGATTTCAAACAAAATTATTGTACTTCTTCTTCTTATTTATTGGCCTCTTGTCCCGTGAGAACATCCAGCCATTTATCCGATCCATCCTTTCATCTGCTTATTTAATTTTGAATTTGACCTTTAAGCCTTCTGCAGTCTTTTCCACTTTTAGTTGAAATCGTTGCTGTCTTGTGGCTTAAGCCCAAGTGCTGCTGACCACGTGTTAACTGGTACACAGATTAATCTGTGACTGGTGGTAGTAGTGGTTACAGCAAAAGCATATGTATACAAAAAAAAAGAAGTTGGCATTTGTACCTTCCTTGACAGATTGGTTTGTTGATGTTGATTAGTTGATTACAAGCTGTTCCATCTTCATCTCAATCTTCTCATTGTTGAAATTTGAAATACTCTCCATGAAAGAAATGAATCAAGACGAGAAAATGCTGGAAGACGAAAGCTTAACCCTAGGTCAACCATTAAGTGACTTCCTTTTGCAACTGGAAGATTACACACCAACAGTGAGTACTTCTGCTGATTTCTAAATTCTTCTACATGGTATCAAAAAAAATTAATGTATAGATTCCTGATGCTGTAACAACATACTATCTAAGAAGTTCTGGTTTTGAACCCAGAGATCCGAGATTAGTAAGATTGGTCTCTATAGCTGCTCAAAAATTCATATCTGATATTGCCAATGATGCCCTACAGCATTGTAAAATGCGGTCCACTAACTCCTCAAGTCATACTGGATCAAAGGTATAATATTAATACCATCGATCACAATTCCTTTATAATGGGAATACTTATTTTTAAGAGCAAACAGGGCACAAAGGATAGAAGATACTGCCTCACTATGGAAGATTTGACTCCAGCTCTTGCAGAATTTGGAATAACTATCAAGAAACCCCATTACTATGTATAAGTTCTAGAATTTCAGTTTTTACTTGGTTATAAATGTGCATTTTTGTTTTTCACCCAGTTAGGTAGTCAAAATGAAGCAAATCTAAAGAGTTTTGTTCTGTTGTATCAAGAAAACTGTACATGGTTATCTGGTGCTGAAATGAAAATCAAATGAAATAATAAACTGTATTGAAGTACAAAAATAAAGTGTGGATCAGAATTCATGAAATATCATCAATAAACTTATGTAATAGCTCACTTGCTAATGGTATAACCAAATATTCAGTTCCATCAACAGATCTTTTCAGTTTAACCATCTTATGATCAACAAACTCTGTCAACTGTGCCCTTAGAGCCAAATCTGAACTCACAGTAAAAGATTCCTTGCAAGAATTGTACAAGTTTTTGAAGGACAATCCTTGATAATATTGAGATTTTGAGTTTTCCAACTGATATTTCACAATCTTTGAAAAAATTTGTTTTGAGTTTGTTGTTAATGATTGGAAAACATTTTTTAGTGATGACAAGGCCAGTGCTCCACTCTGTTGAACCATAAGAGATTTTTCAAATGATGTTTCTTCACAATATGGTGAAAATGAAGTCACATCCCACCAAATGAAGTTGAATTTACTGAGTTTACTGTGGTCCCATATTAGTGGAGCATTTATATGATCAATGGAAGCTATGATATGGATGTTTTTAACTGAAGCTAGTCTGGCTATAATGTTTTGTGATTTGCTGTTTCTAAGCATATCACCTTCAATATTATGGATCATTATGTACAAATGGGTCTCAGGAATTTTTTCCATCTCAGCAATGATCAACTCCATTGCTTCTACAGCATTGCCTGAGGTTTCTTTCATTTCTAACAAGTCAATTGAAATGGCATCCAAAATATTCTTGATTGATAGGGTAGGAAAAAAACCATTAATCACAACTACAGGTACATCACCCAGGTACTCTGCATTAAATTTGTTTAAAATGTCTTTCTTGGATCCTAGGCCATAAAGGAGTATATTGAAATTTTCATTCAATAGATAGAACCATTTTGGGAAATTACTCTCATTCACCAAGGAAAGTCTTTTCATGGAATTTTTATGTTTCTGAGATAATGTCAAATTCTTTAAGAGTTTTTGGAGTTCATACTGGGGCAATCTTGGGGTTTTTAGTTTGTCCAAGGTATTATTGGAAGTTTTCACTTTATTTGTGTTGAAATTTTCAAAATACTCATCTGTTTTTATGGTGTATTTGCTCCTTGCACCTTTTGCTTGTGTAGGTATCATCTTCATGTCTTTGAATTCTGTATGGCCTTTATGAGATTTTTTAGGAGATTCATCTTTTTCAGTCTCAGAAGAATCCTCTTCCTCAGTACTATTTTCACTGTAACTGCTACTTTCTGGACTTTCCTCTGAAGACACTTCATATTCACTACAACTATCTTCCTGGAGTAGTTTTGTTATCCTTGTTTTAGTTTTATGACGAACCACATGTGGAGTCTTAGGAATACACACTTGTGCTGCTTTTTGTGCAAGTCCATCTCTGGTTTTTCTAGTTTGAAATTTGAAAATATCTTCTCCATGTACTATGTCATTTTCATGTAACAATCTTGGTTTTTCAACATCAGAGCTTGAAAGATCTTCCTCTGTGAAGAAGTGTACATCTTCATCACTGCTTACATGTTCGATGTAACCCGATTTCTCCAGTTTCTGAAGATACAATGATTCCATTGCCTTTAGGCTTGGTTTTTTTGAACGACTGGTTTTTCGTAGTCCTGCACTGCCTGATGCCATATTTAAATTTCACTATACTTATCATCAATAGCTGTGTGAGTTATTAATATGACCTATTTATTATTTATGTGTTTATCAAAAAATAGGTCTATGAGAAGACCTTTTCAAATTTCAAAATTAACCCCAACCTCAAACTTCAAAAAACAAAAAAAATTTTTCATTTTTTCAAACTTCCAAAACAGTCTCGAGGTTAGGATACTGTCACACTAGTCACAAGTGTCCCAACTACACCATTGTAGCTAAACGGTTTTCTGTTTATGGAAATAATGGTAATGTACTATCAACTGTCATGCGTTCAAATAGAATAAAAGAAGAACGAATTAACCTTGGCCATAGTTTTTTGTTTACTAATTTGAAGCTAATCAACAATGATTCAATGAATACAATGATAATAACTAATATTTAATATGTGCCTTGTGCAAGATTCGTTTTAGCTGAAAACACTTTTGCAATGTCATCGGATTTCGTAAGGGTTTTCATCGTGTGCGACATAAACCTCGCTCCTTGACGAGATATTAAAAATCTTCCAGTAAAATCTCTCAACTGAAGAAAGAAGAAAATGTTCTTTGTTCGGTCCGCTCTTTTGTTGTTAATTTACTTATGTTACAGTTCTTTCGGCTACAAACCAGTAATTCTTCTACATGGCATACTAACTGGTTCTGAGAGTATGGAACTCATCAAAAGCAGGATTGAAGAGGTCAGTACATACACTGGAATATTCATCATTGAGGCTACAAATGTGAGCTTATTGTTTCAGAAACACCCCGGAACCAAAGTTTATAACATAGATAGGTTTGAAGGGTGGTCAAGTCTTGAAAATATGTGGTATCAAGCACAACAACTCAGTCAGAATTTAACAAATATTACTAAACAACATCCAGATGGTGTGAATTTCTTAGGTGATATCATATATATCAATACCTCTCCACAATGAGTTAATTTTGTCCATTTCAGGTTATTCTCAGGGTGCTCTCTTAGCTCGTACTATTCTACAAGCTACCCCAAATCACACTGTACATAGATTTATATCTCTTAGTGGGCCACAGGCAGGACAATATGGAAGTAGGAAAATCATTGTAGGAAAATTCAATATTTTAAATTTGAGTATTTTTCAGCTTCCTTCCTTCATTTATATTTCCCTGGTTTAGCATTAAAGACAGCTTTTGAATTATTTTATTCAAGAGTGGGACAACATACCTCTGTAGGCAATTATTGGAATGATCCATATCATAAGAGTTTGTACATGAACTATTCTCAGTATTTGCCATATGTTAATAATGAGATTTTGTCTTCAAAGAGTGCAGATTTCAAAAATGCTCTCACTAAGTTGAATATGATGGTACTCATTGGAGGGCCAGATGATGATGTTATAACACCTTGGGAATCCAGGTAAAAAGGCTTTCAGTTTTCATTCATATTTTCATGATTATGATAAGTTTGCTCCTCATTTTCATTTCTTTGAACCTATAACTCACAAGACAGGAAGTAGGCACAGTCTATGTTGGTAGAACTGATGATAACTTGAATAGTAAAATAATCATCAGTTCTACCAACTTTGGGCATAGTGAGCCAGCATCTTGAGGTATCCAATGAGATTTTGGGTGTGAAAGTTTGGTATTGAAATTGTTTAAAATTCAAATTCCACATGATCAATAGGTTCAAAATTCAAACCTGTATGCATACCTTTGTATTAATGAAGTTTTGCTAATTAATTTCAAAACATCCCCTATACAGTGTCATTCATAAAGTCGGCATCATATGGGAAAAATCTGTTATTAATGACTTATTTTGAAATTCGAGTTGGACGTCAAGTTTTGCTTCAAAAAAGATGAAAAATGGCCTACTCAATCGGGGTCACGTGACTTTCGATACATGTCAAAAGTGACATTTTTTCAAATTAATCGCTGAAAGTAGGCTTATTTGTTCGAATATCGGAAAAGTTTACTTGAGAAAGTTGTTTTTATTTAAATTTCACATATGTGACTCGAATTTTATCTTTCTATTACATTTTTCAGATTTCGATATTTTTTAAAAATTTTCGAAATTTCTGTAATATTAAAAAAATTGTAAATTCGATAAAACTACTTCATACCAGTAGTTTCATCATGCTGCTAACTAACAATTACTAATTATCGACAAAAATATGATTTTCTTCAGAAAATGATAATCTCCGCTTCAAAATTCTGTTATGTTTGATGCAAACATAACATAAAAATTCTGTTATGTTTGAGTCGAGCATTTAGAAATGACATTCATTCAAATTCCTTTTTTCAGTACTGAAAAGATCAGTTTAAATGAATTTTGTTTCTAAATGCTTGACGATATATCAACTTTGCATCAAACATAACAGAATTTGGAAGCAGGTATTATCATTTTCTGATGAAGAAAATGATATTTCCGTCCATAATCAGTGATAATGAGTAATTGGAAGTAACATGAAAAAGCTACTGACATGAAGTAGTTTCGTGGAATTAACAATTCTTCAAATATTACAGAAATTTCGAAAAATTAAAAGAAAAATCAAAATCTAAAAGTTGCAATAGAAAGATCAAATTCGAGAAGTATGTGTAAAATTGAAATAGAAACAACTTTTTCAAGTGAAATTTTTCGATATTCGAACGAATAAGCCTACTTTCAGCGAATAATTTGAAAAAATGTCACTTTTGACATGTAGCGAAAGTCACGTGACCCCGATTGAGTAGGCCCTTTTTTCATCTTTTTTGAAGCAAAACTTAACGTGCAACTCAAATTTCAAAATAAGGCATTAATAAAAGTTTTTCCCATATGATGCCGACTTTATGAATGACACTGTATTGGTAATTGGATCAATATATTTTAAGTATTTTGTTGAGTTTGTAGATCTTATTTATTCTCCTTTTGGATCATGGAATAAACACACAAAGTTTGGTCATGTCATTATATGTCATGCTTCATATATTCAGTAGAATATTTTTTAGTCTGTCGATTGTATTTCTGAAACTGATGACATAATCAACTTTTCACCACCAGTTGTGAAACATTTCTCTTTATCATAATATAGGATACTTCGAACTGTAGTTACTTTCAACATATTATTTATATTTGAGAATCAGTAAACATCGTTTTTTAGCCAATTTGGATATTATGATGGCAATGGGACAGTGGTTACTCTGATGGATCGTAGTATATTCAAGAATGACGCAATTGGTTTGAAAACTTTATATGACAAAAAGAAATTGAAAATAGTGACTGTTCCAGGTATAAATCACTTTATGTGGCATATCAATGTATCTATTTGTGATAATTATATTTTACCTTATTTGGATTGATATTATAAAATATTGTATTTGTGTGATTATTATATAAATAGTCTTATATATAGATGTGGTGTTTCAGTTAATATTTCTTTTCAATCCTTTTCCATTCAGAAATATACAGGTAAAGAGTCATCCTTGTGAGAGTTACAAATATATTCAGATTATAAAAACAGCATTATTATTCTGTTGGCAATTCAACCAATCAAGTCAAGTATATAATCAAAATTAAAAAATTAATTGCCAGCGTAGTCATGTTGTATTCAAATTGATATCATACTGTAATTTATTATACATATACCTTGTATATTATTATAGTCTTATTATAGACATAGATCTAAATACACACTCATAGATCAAAAAGAATACAGTGAAAGTGACATCTATTGGATAAATCGTAATCTAGTAATTCCACATACAGTTACAAGAGAAGAACCCTATAAAAAAATCATAACTTGAGTTTTCATCATATAGAGGACACAATTGATATTGTTTTCATAAGGGCACGAGCTGAATACCAAGACTGCGACCAAGATTTATTTCACCAAAGAGGGCCATCAGATTCTGATTTTCAACCATGGAATAATATCTGGTTTTTTAACCAAAATTGAGATTTTGGCAATTGAGACTATGGTGTACCTAAATAGAACAATAATATACTTATAATAGTACAATTCAACTAGAAATATAATATTTTTTCGACAACCGTCCGGGAAGTCGTCACTTTCCGGACGCTTTTTCTTTGAAGAAGTAGCATATTTTCGGACTAATCCGGGAAATATCATCAAATCATGTTCTGCAACATGTAACAGATAATGGTGCCCTCTAGAATGTCCTTCGAAAAAGAACCTGAAAAGTAGAACTATTTTCGGAACTAAACAGCATCCATGTCATGTTCACATGACCTAACATAAACATATTATTCTTTGAAATAAAACTGATTTTTCACGTTATTATTTTATTTTCTTACATACTTCTTTGAAACATGATTTCACTGATGAATAAAAACTATCACAGACGAATATTCCATTGCGAAAATACATAATATAATCATGAAAATTACATTGTAAGAGTAAAAGGTATGCAATGGAATAAAATAACAGAACTGGTACCGGAATCGCAATTTACAATCTCATGATTGTGAAATTCAGGTGAATTACGTTGGTTATAAAATAACCAACATTATTTATACCTGAATTTTACAAGTTTGTTTCTCTCTGTGCTGTTATTTCAACCCCCTACGAGGAGGATTTTGAATAAAGAGGAGGGGTGTTGTGATTGAAGATTTCATCGGGTAGGTACCCTCTAATTTCGCTTAAAAATTTACATCGATAACGAAATTAGAGATAACATAATTAACCCGAATTCACTATTCAGATGCGAGATTCGCAGGAATGGCACTCAGATCTAGTAGATGTCATGCTGTCATGGTCATGATGGCTACTCTATTCTAATCAGATGTTTTGGTTCCCACGAAAAAGGATATCCTGTATAATGTTCAGAGAACATCGTATGAGAACCAAGGGAAATAAGGTAGGAATTGAAAAGAAGAGCGAAGAAGAGAAAAGACATAGGTCTATATTACAGTTTGACCGAACTAAATATTATGATTGAAATATAGTGGTGAAAAAAAAAATACCTTGGTATAGTAAACCTTATATAATTTCGGTCCCTGGACAATTATGAGATTCTTGACTATAGGCTATGGCCAGGTAGCGTCGTGGTAGAAGCGTCAGCATTTTAATCCGCGTGCGCTTGTCGTTGTGGGTTCAATTCCCCGCTGAAGAAATTTTTCTGATGACCTAAAGCGGCGTTAATAGCCAAACTTTTCACGTTTCACGTTTTCACTTCGAGATATGGATGATTTTCATGATTAGTGGTGCCCGCGAGAGTCTCGTTTTCGAGAGTCTCGCATGGTCTCGTCTCGTTTTCGAGACAAGACTCGAGACGAGACTCGGACAAGGCGAGACGAGACTTTCATTGGTCTCGTCTCGAGTCTTGTGCAAGACTTCTCGTGTCTCGTGCGAGAGTCTCGCAGGTAAATATTTCTGCGTGCCGACTGCAGACTTGAGAATGTCATTCATAATAAAACATATTCAGGAAGAATTCTATAAGAAAACATCGGAATCGCTTTAATAATGTATCTGCACGATGTTTGTTATGTCTTGACGACTGGGTGAAAAACAAAAACATTTGCGATCGTGAAGGCTGATCTGACTGATAAAGGTTTTTTTCTCCAAGCGGCAGGAATAGTGGCTTTTTCCTGCCGCTTAACAGGCAGAAAAGGTGTATTTTTACTGCCTAGGCAGAAAAAGTGTGTTGCTACGCAACGTTCCAAGAAATTCTAATGAAATTTGTAATCAAAATTGACACTGACATATGGTGAACACAAAATGATGGAGTTTTCAATAAAAAAATCACACAAAATTGGTTTTATATCATTTGGAGGAAAAATTCTATGTTTCACATGGCAGAAAATGTAGATTGACTACTTTTCAGCCTATATAGTAAAACAAATAACTATTTTCTTAAATACCTATTTCTCAAATAAGTAAAATAATGTTGGATTGAAGTTTTTGTTTTGTTTATTTGTTGAGAATATACGTTTTACTTTTTATTTCATTTTTATAACTTTCGAATATATAATGCTTTTTTTTTTCTTGTTTAGATGTATGATGTAAGTATGTACCTATTAGATACTTACTTTTCCATAAACAATGTTATTTTTGTTGTAATTTTCTCTCTCTACTTCGACATTATACCTAGAAAGTAGGCAAAGGTAAATATCCCGTACTAGACATTATGCATGACGAAATTGCGATACTTTTGCGAGACTCTCGTACGAGACGCGAGACAAGACGAGACTCGGGGTTGCGAGACGAGACTCGAGACAAGACTTCATATTTCATCGGCGAGACGAGACGAGACTTTATGAAAGTCTCGTCTCGTTGGTCTCGTGTGAATCACTATTCATGATTTATGAATAAATAATCGAAGTGCGATAAGGTGAGGATGAAGCATTATGAGAATACCAATAAACCAAATCTTTGTGTTATATTGTTACCTCTTTTCTCGGCTTATACTGGCACCAAATAATACTCCTGACTATTTTCATCTTCAAACACTTCTACCTGGTACGCCAGCAGCTACTGTTAGGCAACAAGCAATGAACAGGAGGAAACCTTTCATTTTCAATTGAATAAAAAGGTATACCTGTATTTTCAATAGTAGATAATAGATATTCACAATACCTACAACTTTTTTGTCTTGAACTACTGGTTGAACTAATATTTCTTAAATCTTATGCAGAAATTTTATATTCATTATAATATCGTTCTTTCCCAAGTTTGTTATAGTTTTTAAAATATATGCCAACTTTATGAGGTTCCAGAAAAATATAGTCATATAAAGATACAACAAAGCATTAAACGACTCTGCTGTGAAAAACTTTTCACATTTCATTATATCGAGTATGGGATTATGTTTTGTTTTGCAATATGCCATAAGATATGATTTGTATACATATAGTCAAGGGAAAATCAAGAAATGCAATGGTAATAGAAAAATATTTAAACCACGATAAAATTTTCCAAGGTAAATACCTGGAGAAAATCATAATTGCATTACAATAATAATTGTACGATGTACAGGGTGTCCCCTAATGTGCCTACAATACTTTGACAGTATTCAGAATATATGAACTTGGCAATTTCTGACGAATGTAGGTATACCGGGTGACACAGGTTATCGGGCCACCCCTGTAACTTCTGCATTCGTCAACGGATTTTTCTGAAATTTGGTACAGTTATAATATATGCAACTATTTCGGATTTGATCATATTACAATCCAATATGGCGGACTTCCGGTTTTTCTGGAAATGCCAGCAATTTTGTTTTTTCAAAAGGAACACCCTGTATATTTTTACATATTCAAGTTCAACAGGCCAAAACAAGTGCAATCTTGATGTCAAATGTCATTTATTCCACAGCCTACCTAGTTGAAAAATCATTCTAACTGCGAGTAAATTCATAAAATAGTTGTTTGATTTTTGAATGTATACAATTTGTTACTGCACCGAAAACAAAAATGATATGTCATTTTGTTCCTTTGTATGTTCTAGAGACGGATAGGTGGCCCAAAGGGGTTCCATTTGAAAAAAAATAATTTTTGATCAAAAAGTTATGTGGCTGAATTGATTCCTGGATAAGTGGCACAAAAAATTATTTTTCAGAAAAAATTATGTTCTTCTGTAATGTGTGACTCATTGTGAATAGTCTTGACCACATCTCATTTATCCACGAGGTAAAATGAAAATACAATTTTAATTTAATTTTGTTCGAAAAAATGACATTTGAAATGAAGATTGCACTTGTTTCGACCTGTTGAACTTGAATATGTTAAAATATACAGGGTGTTGCATTTGAAAAAACAAAGTTGCTGGCATTTCCAGAAATACCGGAAGTTTGCCATATTGGATTGTGATGTGATCAAATCCGAAATAATTGCTCATAAAACTGTACCGAATTTCAGAAAAATCCGATGACGAAAGCAGAAGTTACAGGGGTGGCCCGATACCCTGTGTCACCCGGTATACATTATTCCAATTCCACATATTCTGATATAGGGATTAGGAATCACTAATGAGAATAAAATTATTCTAGATTTGACAGGGCTGTCTGACGGCTACGAAAAATTGGTGAAATGGAGTAATTACCTATACCTAAACCAATATGATTTGACTAAATTAAGGAATCAAAGGTGTTTTCTGTTTGGTGAGAAGAAATTATTGACTATAATCAGTTGATATCGGTTATTCACCAATGCCCAAGTCGGTGATGAAATTGAAGGTCACATCCAATGATCTAGAGAGCGGTCATTATCGCTGCAACAATTTGTTTTTATTTTCTTTTGCAATCTCGTTTATGTTCAGAGAAGCCTGGGCCTTTCCAATCTACAAAACTTGGTAAAGAACCGTCTTAGATTGTGGATCTCGCTCAAACTAATGATATAAAATAATGGTGTTGCCAGGAAGAAGTCAGTTCAGTTTCAGACTACGATTTTCAAACACTGCCAAAGCAGTCAGAATTCATAAACAAGCTACTGATTTACCATAAGCAAGTAAAAAAATGAAAGTATTCGTGTTTGTCGCTTTTTGTCTGGCAGTTGCTGCAGCAGTACCAATTGAAGTTTTTGAAGACGAAGATGGCCAAGAATACTATTTGGTGCCAGTTAGCCGTGAAAAGAGGTGAGTAGAAGATATCCTGATTTCTCCTTATATTTTCCCATACTACCTACCGTATACCCAAACTGATACAAAAACTAATAATTTACTAGCCGATAATAGTACGATAATATGTAGATGAAACTCTATAATGAGTTATTTTATGATTATGGTTTACTTATATGATTCAATAATATGTATAGGTATTCATAGCATATGCTATATTAACCTATAACCAGTTTGTCATTCTTAGAGGTGAATCATGTACCATATATTATGTACATATCATAATTATTGGATAATCTCATATAAGGTAGGTATACAAATTCTCTTCAGTTATATCAGATTTCATATCATACTTTTTTCCAAAGCAACTTGTTAATGCTGTTGTTCTCAAGTGGATTATTGAATTCATAAAGAAAGTATACATACATACCTACATCGAGGAAAAGTTCAGAAGAGTTTTCATCGAAACATCGTAATGTGACATTTGTGACAAGACTATCAATTTTTTATGGAAATAACTTCGAACCGATCAGTTTTGAGTCATTATCTAGAGATCAAGGACAGTTTTAGGCCCCATGGCCCTGTCATTGAAAATTTCGAAACAAAAATGATCGCATAGTAACAATGTAGAATTTGCTTCAAATGTTCCTCGTTGAACTTTTGCTTCGAGCTTTGAATTTGCTCCTTCAAAGTGTTAAACATGTTAGAATGATATATCAATGGCCAACCTCGTGTAAAACTAATAATATATATATAGATAGTCTTCTGTCCTAAATCTCCTTCATATTTTATTTCCTTAGTTTCCTACACTTTTGCTGGAATTGGTCGATTTTTGTTAAGAAATGTTAATTTCCCAAATGATTGTTGGAAACGGCACATTTCCTCATATAGTAACGCCAGTAATCATTCATTATTTGATCGTGGTCATATTTCAGTACTTTGTGAGTAGATCTGATATGTTATTTTGTATTCGTTTCTTCCAGACAAACGAAATGGGGCATATCCAACTCGGGAGCAGGCATCAGTCACACCGGCACGCTCTTCCAGAATGACCACCACCAATTAGATGGCACAGCCTCGGCAGCGAAGAACTTCCCGTCACACGGGCTCAGGCCCGACCAGATTGGTGGCCGCTTGGACTACACGCACACCCCTTCTGGTTCCGGAGCGTTCGTCCAAGCCGACAGGACGCGCAATTGGGGAACTGACGTTGCTGCAGGGGGCAAATACAACATCTACACCAGCCCGAAAAAGGACTTCGGAGTCGACGCCACTGCTCAGTACCAGAGACATTTCGGTGGTCCAGGGGGAGCTGGACGCCCTGACGCTGGGGTCTTTTTGAACGCCCATGCAGACTTCTAAACATAACTATACTCGTCGTATTTATTTTCCATTTCTCATGTTTTATCACCAAAAAATTAATATAATCATTGATTGTTATTTTTAATGCTATTGTTTTATTAGACACACCCTTATAGTAATTAGAGGGACAAATTAGAATTCGAACTCGATTAACTACATGCTTCTTATCATTAAAATCTCTGGCCTCACTTAATTTATTGAACAGGCAATTTAATCCGACGGTTCTATGATACCACAGTTGAGAGAAATATGTAATATTCTCTCAACTGTGATGATACATAGTATTTCATTAATGTTGCACGAAACTTGGGTAGCAGAATCTTTCTGTCAAAATAAGAAAAATTGTTCATACTAACTATTTGAGTCCTAAAATGATTCGTTTCCAAGATACAAATGTTCAGGTGTCTTGAGAAAAAAACGAATTTTCATCAATTTTGGAAAAACTATTCAATCAAATTCTGAACAAATTCACATTTATTGTTGAAATAGCGATTGCGTATTTTTTAAACCTATATCACACTAGCTCGCCCATGCACGGGGCGAGTCCGTTAGTTTTTAACACAAAAACAAATACTCACCCAGTAGGTACCCAATGGAAGTTTTTAAAAAGTTTGTAACTTCATCAACATATAAAACTTTTGCGGCATATTTTTGGACCTATTATTCATCATTACTGTTCTTCTCTCTACGGGCTTATATAAACATCCCAGCTAACAATGCGATGTCGCATGAACATCTATGATACATCGCCATGAGTTCTACGACATTGAATCAGGTAGTCGTGTAGACATCACGGGGACGTACATATTTGTCACAATCGTTTGAATGTTGTACCAATATTGCACCGCAAATCCGCAATGTCAGAGGATTATCGCGATACAACGGAAATATCTCATTGAGATGTCACTTATATGAGCAATAGGTTAGGATTTGATGATATTATTAAAAATGATAATTATAATGAATAAAATATTCATTCGTCATTTGCAGATAATAATATTAAACAAAACAAAACATGAAACGAACATTTTTTACATGATCTTTGGTGAATAGGCGGAGTATCAGCAAAATGCTGTTTTCAACTCAACCCATTATGTATTAGGAGAATATCTGAACTACACGTTTTCCTCATTGATCTCATCAGTATTTTTTTATTGGCATCATGTAGAATTCTTCAAAATTTGCAAGTTATTGTAAAAATTTTATTAAGATTTTATTATTTATATCCTGCCTTCTCTTTGCACAATGATCTGAATAGTTGTTTGATATTTTTTCTCATCATCAACTTCACCTCAGTCATATTCACCAAAGAAAACCATTTCATGATCTGCAATATATTAGAAAACAACCTATGAATATCCTCAATCCTCATAGATCGACCATAGATCATTGTTGAAGAAGTTCATATCACAATAATATTCTTCTGGCTTACTAAAACCAAAGGCGAACTTCAACATCATTGTTGTCTGCTGAATTATTTGACATACTTTTACTTAGTTGGCTCATTTCAATCTTAAGAATAGTTATCTTTTACCACTTTCACTTGGATTGGCGTAAAAGTTATTATTTTTATATATGTTATGAAATAAACAGGAACCACTGAATAAGAGAACAATCAGAATGTGCGTGAAGATGCAATGTATCATGGATGTGCGAATCATATATTAGGATCATAATCATATCACCGAAACGTCTGGGTAACATCATCATTGACTTGTGTTCAATTGATGTCCCTAATAGAGGTGACATCAATATCTTTTTCTTTTGGTGATATCACAGAGATATTCGGGTCCTCGTACTGTTAGCTGGAATGCATATAGGTTCACCTTCGAACACTTCTACTGGTTAGCCAGCAGCTATACTTACTATTCAGCAAATAGCGACGAAAAGAAAACCATCCATTTTCGATTGAATACAAAATTTTGATTATCAATATAGTAGATAAAAGATATTCACTATCGTAATACTGAAACTGTACCTACTGAACTTTCTTGTGTTAAACTACTGGTTGAACCGATCTTTTTCAGACAGTTTAATTCCATTAGGAAACTGTTCCTTCTCAAGTTTGTTATAGTTTTTCCAAATATACCAGCTATATGAGCTGATACCATATATCAGGAAGGAATCAATGTTGGGGGTTCTAGAGGAAGATTAAAAAATGACCAAAGCATTCTGCACCATGATGTGAATAACTTTCATTATGGCGAGATTAGAATAATGTTTTATTTTGCAAGGAATGTGAGGACATGAACTTTTTTCCTTGAGAGAGTAACACAAAGCATCGAACATCAACTTGAATGTTGATTTTCGATGGACAAAGTTACAAACAAATATGGCTAAAACGATACCATTCGTATAATCGAGGGATAATTAAGAGATGCAGTGAATATACCTGTATATTTTCATTGAGTAGGCCGTCATACTTACCATACCTATATACAGGGTGTCCCGAAATTAGCCTGCCAACTTCATCAGTGGCTTCTACGATCAAAAATAGGAAGAAAAGTTACAATAAACATGAGGAAAGATGATATTTCTTGAGTATTTCCGAAACTCCATGTGATGCAATTCGGTACAAAAACCTGCCCAATGCACTGAAAATGAAATCATTCCAAAATTTCACTCAGGAGTGTATTAAATTGAATCACATAATTTTGATTTTGTTTTGTTATTGTTAATTAATTTATCATATTGACGTCACTTGTCGGTGTCATATTCTGTGTCACCACCTCAGTTATTGGTTTCATGTCAGTTCCGGTTGACTTTGACATGTGTCACTTATTCTTTGACTATTTATTTCCTTGTGATTTATGATGTTTCTGGTCCCTTGAATTCTATCTCAGCTTCCATTTGCTTTTCGCATTTCTTGATGAATCTCACGTGAGAGAATTTTTGGAATAATTAGTTTCTGATGTACTTCGCCAATAACCCAATTTTAATTTGGTTTTACTGGACATTCTCCACATTAAAAACCACTTGAATATGCTGGACTGTCAACTGCATTTTTTGGACCTGGCTTTTCAATTTTAATAATTTTCTCAATATGTTGTAAGGTTAGTACATGATTGTATGACTCTTTTTACCCCATAACATTGTCTATCATTATATTTTAGGTACTCATATAAACATCATTTTTGTGTCTGATGATGGCCTGTGGCCGAAACTAGTAACACGTCGCTTATTAAATGATTTTGTGGTCGACAGACTTTGGGATTTTCATTGTTTTTTATTTAAAATCAATTGGACCACTTTGAGAAAAATGGATGATTTCTATGATTTTATATTCAAGAAATATAATCTTCAAGAGCCCCCTTAGTAACTCATGTTCATTGGAAATTTTCTTCATAGTTTTGGTCGTAGAAGCCGCTGGTGAAGTTTGGCAGGCTAATTTCGGGACACCCTGTATAAACATAATGGGAATCCTCAATACCGGGTGACACAGGGTGTCGGGCTACCCCTGTATTCATGGAAATGTTTTTCTGTTTGGTACAGTTATATGAGCAATCATTTCGAATTTGATCACATTACTATTCAATATGGCGGATCCGATTTTTCCAGAAATGCCAGCAACTTTGGTTTTTCAAATGGAACACCTTGTATATTTTTACATATCCTAGTTCAACAGGTCAAAAAAGTGCAATCCTTATGTCAAATATAATTTTTTCGAAAATGTTGAAATTAAAATTGTTATTTTATTTTACCTCGTGGATAAATGAGATGTGGTCAAAGCTATTCACAATGAGTCAACCATACTAGAGAAACATACTTTATTCTGAAAAATTATTTATTGCGTCATTGAGGAAGCAAAAAAAAAGGTCGATGAGGAAAATGTATTGACTAATCGATTGATATCGGTTATTCACCAATGCCCAATGTATTGGTCAGGAAATTGAAGGTCATTCAATAATCTAGAGACCGGTCATTATCGCCTGCAACACTTTGTTTTCATTTTCTTTTACAATCTCGTTTATGTTCAGAGAAGCCTGGGCCTTCCCAATCTACAAAACTTGGTAAAGAACCGTCTTAGATTGTGGATCTCGCTCAAACTAATGATATAAAATAATGTTGCTGCCAGGACGAAATCAGTTCAGTTTCAGACTACGTTTTTCAAACACTGCCAAAGCAGTCAGAATTCATAAACAAGTTACTGATTTACTATAAACAAGTAAAAAAATGAAAGTATTCGTGTTTGTCGCTTTTTGTCTGGCAGTTGCTGCAGCAGTACCAATTGAAGTTTTTGAAGACGAAGATGGCCAAGAATACTATTTGGTGCCAGTTAGCCGCGGAAAGAGGTAAGTGGAAGATATCTAGATTTCAACTAACATTTTCCCATACTACCTACCGTATGCCCAAACTAATACAAAAACTAATAATTTACTAGGCGATAATAGTATACGATAATATGTATAGGTGAACCTCTATAATGAATTATTTCATGATTATGGATTACTTTTATGATTCAATAATATGTATAGGTATTCATTTATAGCATGCTATATTCACCTATAACCATTTTGTAATTATCAGAGGTGAATCATGTACCATATATGTACATATCATAATTATTGGATAATCTCGTATTAGGTATACAAATTCTCTCCAGTTATATCAGATTTCATATTACGTATACTTTTTCCCAAAGCAACTTGTGAATGCTGTTGTTTTCAAGTGAATTATTGATAAAAAACATACATGCATATATACATACCTACATCAAGGAAAAGTTCAGGAGAGATTTCATCGAAACATCGTAATGTGACATTTGTGACAAGATTATTAATTTCTTGTGGAGATAACTTCGAACCAATCAGTTTTGAGTCATTATCTAGAGATCAAGGGCACATTAGGCCCCATGGCCCTGTCATTGGGAATTTTGAAACAAAAATGGTCGAATAGGAACAGAACGTAGAATTTGCTTCGAATGTACCTCGTTGTACTTTTGCTTCGAGCTTTGATTTGCTTTTTCAAAGTGTGAAACATGTCAAATTGATATCATTGTCATTTAACACATATGACCAAAGTCCTGTAACACTAACAATATATTTTAGGTAGTCTTTTGTCCAAAATCTCCTTCATATTTTAT